TGTTGGTCTTTAGCCGATTTAATTCTGTACGGACAAACGCTTCTTCTACAGGTTGGAAGTTGAAACCACTAACAGGATTAGCATCAACAGTCAAAGAAGGGTTTTTCCAGATGTAATTTAGACCAGGAGTTATCTTAGCAGCGAGTTTCGATCCAATAGAAGAAAAATAATCATTCAGGACTTCAGCAATGGATTGTGAGTCCGTATAGGTTACGCCGTCCGCTTCAATACAAGTGACTGGCGATGTGGATTTACGTGATGTAATTTCATTGAGTATTTTCCATAGTCCACTAGAATTGCTTTTGTTTCTGTTAATTAATTCGAGATAATAATCGGCTTTACTCTTCTTAACTTGTTTGGTAACAAGGCATTTTAATTTTTTGTACATGTTCCAGTGAAATTCAGAGTTACTTTTAATAGCCTTTCTATGATGGTAATCACGATCTCGCATCGCGTCTTTAAGTTTAGCCGTCAACCAGGGTGTTTTGGTTCCTTTGATGCGGCTCCTTTTAATAGGTGCATGTTTATCAGCAACATCAGAAAAGAGTGCATTCCATGTTTCGACAGCAGCATCTAGATCTTGAGTTTCGTCTATTATATCCCAGTCAATTGACTTAAGATCTTGAATAAAAGAGTTCTTGTCAAATGTGCGGTAAGAGCGATATTCAATTGTTTTTGGAGGAGCTTTGGGAACACCAGATTTTATAGTGCAATAAACAATAGAGTGGTCGCTAATTGCCGAGTGAATGACTCCGCTTTCAACAACACGATGACTATTATTGACAAAAACTAAATCAATCAGAGTTCTCGTCTGGTTACAAATTCTAGTGGGAGTTTTGATCAATTGTTCAAAATCATTCAGGTTTGCAAATCTTTGTAACTTCTGCTTCGCTTTATACGCGGCAGTATTCTTCTCGGCTGAGAAATCGGCATTAAAATCTCCCAGAATTATAACTTCAGTTTCAGCAGGCAATTTTGAAAGAGATGTGTTAAAATAGTCAATCAAGGAGTCACAGCAATAATCTGGCGGTCTATACACACAACAAACGATTAACTTTTTACATTTAGCACGGTTTATTTCAATCCAGCAAGCTTCGTTTACCCCGTCAAACAAGTCCGTTAAGTGTCTATAGGGAATGCCATCTCGAACAAAAATCGCTGTTCCACCACCTCGTTTGCCATTGCGGTCATGTCTTACTAACGTATAGCCAGGAATGTCAATTTCAGTATCCAATATAGTGGGATTGAGCCAAGTCTCAGAAACTGAGAAAATATCGAACGATTTACTTCATACGAGATGACTAATGTCGTCCAGTTTGTTTACCAAGCTTCGTACATTCAGGTGAGCCACTTTGAAGCCACGAGCTTTTGGCAGATCATCTGCATAAGGACCAGGATTTAAACTCACATCACCAGATAAAAGAACTAACGAGGAAGCGACCATAGATAATTTCAGCAAATGTAAACTAACTTTCAATTTACAAGATGGTGGCAGGCTGGCTTTAGTAGTGGAAGGAGAATGTCTCGGTAGACCAGGCGTATTTCTTGTTGGAAACTGCTTGATATCCAGTTTAAGTGCACACATTAGACAGGAGGCACCTTTAACTAACCTTCGACAAGGTTTAAAAGACTCCACGAGCAAAAATAGAGATAAAAATACGACTAAAATGGTAGACAATCTAGAGAAGCGTCTTTCCACCATTTTGCATATACCTGATTATTATAATCGTCGGTGGCCTTCCCTTATTTGACTTCCTTGTTGGACATACTTCTGCTATACCAATCTTTTTTAACATTTCCGGTTTGATGTTAAGCGCCAAATACAAATGCTTTTCTAAAAATATAGATTTTCCCGTCGTTTTCGCTTTCAGAGAAACAGATAAGCTTGGTTGCTCGTTTGATTATGCGTAATTTATTCTTTCCTTGATCTTTAGATATCGATGAATGTGCGTCATCGCAGAATAATGATTGCCACGATGTGAACGGTTTATGTGTCAATATTGACGGTGGTTATACTTGTCAATGTAAGCAAGGTTACACCGGAGATGGAAGGACATGTAACGGTGAGTGAATGCAAGTGGAGAAACTAGCGTCACAGATTAGTATAGGAAATTACACGGTTCGAGAAGTGTTAATGAAAAATCACACGCGTGTTAATTTGGAGAAAGATTTATAATACCGTGAGTGCATAGCACGAGTGGTATTATAAATATTTCGCCTAACAAAATTGTAATTTTTCATTAATATTTCGTGTTTCACCGATGTGCTTTAAAATGTGCTTCAATGGCTATCTGTTCTTGAAATTACAATTTTATCCACTGGGCGTTCAAGGATTAAGGACTGTAGATTTTGTCTTTAGAACGACTCTTCGCACATAACCATCCTTGGGATTGGGTTTTACTCTCCCTATACGTCCAAGTGGCCATAATGATCTTGGTGAGGTTTCATCGACTATTAATACGATATCTCCTGGAGTAAAATTTCGATTCGTTGAGGATTCATCCATTTTTGTCTCCGTTGTAGTTCGGGCAGATACTCTTTCAACCAGTGGCGCCAGAAAACATCAGATAGGTATTGAGCCTGTCTCCATCGTCGTCTGCAATATAAGTCATTGTCGCTGAAGATTCCGGGAGGTAGTGTTGGTCCTGGGAGCAGCAGAAGCAAATGATTTGGGGTCAAAGCTTCCGAGTCATTTGGATCATCAGATAATTTCGTCAACGGTCTACTGTTCATTATAGACTCCACTTCACACATGATAGTTGTCAGGCATTCATCGTCCACGGTCTGCTGTTTTAGGAGTGCCAATAAGATTTTGCGAACTGTCCTGATACAGCGCTCCCAAACTCCGCCATGATGGGATCCTAAGGGAGGGTTGAAAACCAATTTGACGTTTTGTTGCAGGAGGAATTGGTGGATTTTCTCTTGGTTCCAACTTTCAATTGCTGTGCGAATCTCTTTCTCACCACTGACAAAATTACTTCCGTTGTCGGATCTGATCACCTGCGGTTGACCCCTCTTGGGGATGAATCTGCGAAGGGCATGAAGGAACGAACTTTTATCAAGGCTTTGAACCACTTCAATATGAACAACACGTATCGCCAAACACGTAAATAGAACTCCATATCTCTTTACACGACTTCGAGCTCTTTTTATGAGAAATGGTCCGAAACAGTCCACTCCCACAAATGTAAATGGCGGTCTGTCTGGCGTAACGCGATGCTCTGGGAGATCTGCCATTTTTTGTTCACCAACAGCTGCTTGTCTTCTTCTGCAATCTATGCAACGTCTCAGAATTTCTTTCAGAGTATTTAGTGCTCCAATTATCCAAAAGCGTTCTCTTATTAATGACAAAACATTTTCCAGACCACTATGTCCTGCCAACTGATGGTAATGTCTGAAAATCAGTTTCGAAATTGGACTGTTCTTCGGAATGATTAATGGGTGTTTGCTTTCGTCTGAGATAGGAGCATTCGCCAAACGTCCCCCGACACATAGGAGTTGATTCCTTACTTGCGGATCGAGTTTGTAGATGGGACTTGTCTTCCTGACTGGGCCATCTAAAGACCTTGTTGCTTTGTTGTTCTGCGCGTTGACACCATTGAGACGAGCCAATTCATCTTGAAAACTTCTGCCTTGAACGTATTTCACAATCTCCCTTTCTGCAACCAGCATGTCGTCCACAGCCGGTTTAATTTCTGGGTTTGGACTTCTTGTTGCGATGTTAGTAATCTTAGCTGTATCAGCAGCGACTTTACGTAAGTTTGCACGATAACGAAGTATCCATGCCACAAATCTCTTCAGCCGATCCCATGATGAGAATCTCTCGATAATTCCATCAGTCGTAACTTGTGAACTGTTCGTAATTGAAAAAATTGCGTTGTTAACTTCACTTCTGAATCGTCATCGCGAATTATGGGAGTTATGGTAGGTTGATTCAGCCAGTAATTCTCGGATTTCCATAAAAAATCAGGACCATTTGTCCATCGAAGCTTATTTAGCAAGGTGTCAGCAGTTAGCCCCCGTGAAGCGTCGTCCGCAGGATTTTGTTCACCGGTAACATATCTCCACTGAATCGGTGAACTCGCTTCAAGAATGGTGGCAATTCTATTAGCAACAAACGTCTGGAATCTCTTGTTTTTGTTCTTCAGATAACCCAGAACACACGTACTGTCGGTCCAAAACTGAGAGGCGTCGATACGTTGCTACGACAGCAGCCGGCAATTCCAGTCGTGCAATTGTTGTTCCTTTAGAGGAGCCACTCTTGACTTAGCCAGCTCACGAATGAACAATGGACGTTGCCACCGATATCTTCAAACCGAATGTAGGTAAATGCGCCATAGCCACGCTGTGAGGCATCTGCAAAGGTGTGTAACTGCGTTGAAACGTACGATTTCACACGTGTTCGTAGGTTTAATGCCTCTTGGAACCCGAAGCTGCTCAATTCTCGGTAATTCTTTTAGCCAAATGTTCCATCGTCCAAGGTCTTGCGATTGGGGCGGCTCTAAAAAAGTTCAATATTTGGTATTTATCACCCACCACCCCGATAATCACCTCGCCTTCGGCGAATAATTGTTAAATATTCCTGTCTTAACAGATATCAACGAATGTGATGACGTACATGGTTGTCACGCCGAAGCCACGTGCCAAAATACTGCTGGAGGTTATGAATGTCATTGCAATGCAGGTTGGACGGGAGATGGAAGAAGTTGCTCGGGTAAAGATATTTTTGCAAAATGTTTAGATTTCGAACTTTTAGACATGTTAATTTTTTGAACAACGATATCAGTAGTCTAGTTCACTCGCCGTCCGCAGCAAAGTACTTAGCCGTGGCTATAGAACCTCGTTTTCGGGACTGAGGTATCGGCTTCATAGAGTTCTTTATCTTGTTACTGAGGACCTAATTATATAAAGGTCTTGTATATCGTCTAATGTAACTGTATGATTTCAGAAATTTGTCCTCCGGTACTACGAGATAAAACGCTCTCAAGCCAAAATCTCAATCTCGAAAACTATAAAAAATCACTCATTTGCATGAAGGATGTATTTCACATGCACAATTCATATTCGAGAGTAAAGAAAAATTTGACGGGAAAACGTGATTATTCGGTTAACCAAATTATCTGCATGCCCACATCTCTAGTTAATTCTAATGCCGCATGTAAGGATACCTTATGCATGCGCTTTACTTTGTTATTTTGTTCAGTCTGCCACCAGATGATCTCATTCGTGAGGGCAATATGACGTGCCTTGATAAGATATCGTTCATATTTAAGTTCGCATTATTTAGAATGATGGATATTTTTATGCTTTTCTAAAAATATAGATTTTCCCGTCGTTTTCGCTTTCAGAGAAACAGATAAGCTTGGTTGCTCGTTTGATTATGCGTAATTTATTCTTTCCTTGATCTTTAGATATCGATGAATGTGCGTCATCGCAGAATAATGATTGCCACGATGTGAACGGTTTATGTGTCAATAATGACGGTGGTTATACTTGTCAATGTAAGCAAGGTTACACCGGAGATGGAAGGACATGTAACGGTGAGTGAATGCAAGTGGAGAAACTAGCGTCACAGATTAGTATAGGAAATTACACGGTTCGAGAAGTGTTAATGAAAAATCACACGCGTGTTAATTTGGAGAAAGGTTTATAATACCGTTAGTGCATAGCACGAGTGGTATTATAAAAATTTCGCTTAACAAAAGTGTAATTTTTCATTAATATTTCGTGTTTCACCGATGTGCTTAAAAATGCGCTTCAATGGCTATCTGTTCTTGAAATTAATGGTCTTCATTCAATTGCTCAACAAGTAATTCTTGTTAATCTTAATTTGCATGCCTAGTTAACAATATGTTTTTATCACCACGCTCACCTATCACTCGATTGTTTTGAAAATTCACTTGTTTCATAGCATCAACCTGTCCCATTGAAGTAATCGTCCTCATTTTAGAATACTGATGTTTTTTAATGTATTTAGCGACAGACTGTGCAGTCCAATGTATTGCTGAAGCTGTCTGCTCGGCAGTGGGATCAGGATTTCAATGTGTTTGCAGGACCGGCTACACAGGCAATGGCACAACATGTGCAGGTATATACTTAATTAAGAGAGACCAAGAAGGTGAAAATAGAATAGACGGATGTCAATTAGAGGAGAGCCACACGTAACATCGTTTGGCCAATTACAGCTCTTGCTAAAACGTTAGTTATTTGTTTTGTATATCACTCGCCATTACCAACTATCCTTGGAATTGCTCAAAGGAGAACAGCACAATTATTTTTTTGTCTCAGCTGTTATGTTCATAGATTCAAAAGTTCTTCTAAAATGAAGTCACAATTGAATAATTTATCAGCATATAATGAGCATCTGACTATAGTGTTGAACAGCGGACATAGGCAAAGCAGATAAAATAAGATATTATGTTACAAGAAGCATGTTAACAGAGCTACATTATAAGACTATGTAAGTAGAAAGTAATTAGGGATTGCATTGTCTCCTAACAAGATTAGCGTTTTGTTTAGGAAGCTAAGCTGCTTAGTGTTGTGCTAGGTTCGGATATTTTCCGTGTTCCATTGATGATAATTTTTCCCTTTTCAAAATGAATGTTATGGTCATTTTAGCACTAAATCCGAGTAAATAACAACCATTTTGAATACTGGTTCTCACTACTTGTCCCATTACTTATTTTACACCAAAAAATGTAACGAATTAAAAGTTGGAGGGGTGGTCCTAAGTTTTCTAGATCAAGGTGGAGCCGAGCGTCTTGAAAATAAAGGTCTTGCGATTGGGGCGTCTCTAAAAAATGTTCAATATTTGGTATTTATCACCCACCGCTCTACCTCCCACCCCCCGCCCTCCCATTGTTAATGGCAGGTCCCTAACAAATCCTACAAGTTCATTGGTCAAATTTGACGTATTAAGCTGTTATATTCACCTGCAGGTGAATCAGAACAAAACCGAAATTTTCAAAATGGCGGCTAGCCGTTTTGTGGAAGTTACTGATAAAGAAATAAGCGAAATTAAAATAAATTCAGTCCCAAAAAACACGAAAGACTTCTGTAAAAATACTAAAACAATTATTCGCCTCGGGTTCGGTGATTGTTGGGGAATATTCACCTCGACTTCGTCTCCTGTAAATATTCCCTGATAATCACCTCGCCTTCGGCGAATAATTGTTAAATATTCCTGTCTTAACAGATATCAACGAATGTGATGACGTACATGGTTGTCACGCCGAAGCCACGTGCCAAAATACTGCTGGAGGTTATGAATGTCATTGCAATGCAGGTTGGACGGGAGATGGAAGAAGTTGCTCGGGTAAAGATATTTTTGCAAAATGTTTAGATTTCGAACTTTTAGATATGTTAATTTTTTGAACAACGATATCAGTAGTCTAGTTCACTCGCCGTCCGCAGCAAAGTACTTAGCCGTGGCTATAGAACCTCGTTTTCGGGACTGAGGTATAGGCTTGATAGAGTTCTCTATCTTGTTACTGAAGACCTAATTATATAAAGGTCTTGTATATCTTCTAATGTAACTGTATGATTTCAGAAATTTGTCCTCCGGTACTACGAGATAAAACGCTCTCAAGCCAAAATCTCAATCTCGAAAACTATAAAAATCACTCATTTGCATGAAGGATGTATTTCACATGCACAATTCATATTCGAGAGTCAAGAAAAATTTGATGGGAAAATGTGATTATTTGGTTAACCAAATTATCTGCGCACATCTCTAATTAATTCTAATGCCGCATGTAAATATACCTTATGCATGCGCTTTACTTTGTTATTTTGTTCAGTCTGACACCAGATGATCTCATTCGTGAGGGCAATATGACGTGCCTTGATAAGATATCGTTCATATTTAAGTCCGCATTATTTAGAATGATGGATATTTTTATGCTTTTCTAAAAATATAGATTTTCCCGTCGTTTTCGCTTTCAGAGAAACAGATAAGATTGGTTGCTCGTTTGATTATGCGTAATTTATTCTTTCCTTGATCTTTAGATATCGATGAATGTGCGTCATCGCAGAATAATGATTGCCACGATGTGAACGGTTTATGTGTCAATAATGACGGTGGTTATACTTGTCAATGTAAGCAAGGTTACACCGGAGATGGAAGGACATGTAACGGTGAGTGAATGCAAGTGGAGAAACTAGCGTCACAGATTAGTATAGGAAATTACACGGTTCGAGAAGTGTTAATGAAAAATCACACGCGTGTTAATTTGGAGAAAGGTTTATAATACCGTTAGTGCATAGCACGAGTGGTATTATAAAAATTTCGCTTAACAAAAGTGTAATTTTTCATTAATATTTCGTGTTTCACCGATGTGCTTAAAAATGCGCTTCAATGGCTATCTGTTCTTGAAATTAATGGTCTTCATTCAATTGCTCAACAAGTAATTCTTGTTAATCTTAATTTGCATGCCTAGTTAACAATATGTTTTTATCACCACGCTCACCTATCACTCGATTGTTTTGAAAATTCACTTGTTTCATAGCATCAACCTGTCCCGTTGAAGTAATCGTCCTCATTTTAGAATACTGATGTTTTCTAATGTATTTAGCGACAGACTGTGCAGTCCAATGTATTGCTGAAGCTGTCTGCTCGGCAGTGGGATCAGGATTTCAATGTGTTTGCAGGACCGGCTACACAGGCAATGGCACAACATGTGCAGGTATATACTTAATTAAGAGAGACCAAGAAGGTGAAAATAGAATAGACGGATGTCAATTAGAGGAGAGCCACACGTAACATCGGTTGGCCAATTACAGCTCTTGCTAAAACGTTAGTTATTTGTTTTGTATATCACTCGCCATTACCAACTATCCTTGGAATTGCTCAAAGGAGAACAGCATAGTTATTTTTTGTCTCAGCTGTTATATTCATAGATTCAAAATGAAGTCAAAATTGAATAATTTATGAGCATATATAATGAGCATCTGGCTATGGTGTTGAACAGGAGCAATAGATAACGTAGATAAAATAAAGTAGACGCAAAGTAGATAAAATAAGATATTATGTTACAAGAAGTACGTTAACAGAGCTACATTATAAGACTGTGTAACTAGAAAGTAATTAGCGATTGCATTGTTTCCAGACAAGATTAGCGTACTGTTTAGGAAGCTGCTTAGTGTTATTATCTGAATTTGCAATTAAGGCAGTGTGCAAGGTTCAGATATTTTCCGTGTTCCAGTGATGATAATTTTTCCCTTTTCAAAATTAATGTTATGGTCATTTTAGCACTAAACCCGTAACGTGGAACGCTGAAATGGAGAGCCTGGAACAGCAAACCAGGAACAACAAACCCAGAACGGAAATTGTGTATCTTACATAAAATTTATACCTGAAATTTCCATCTACAAATTCTATACCACATATCCTTTAAAATTGAAGTTTTAGGTTGAAAATGATGCGTAAAAGTTAAAATACAAACTATATGAAGTTTTAAATTCAAGTCATCGACGTCCATGTGTTCGCCAAGTTGCATGTATGTTGAAATTGCAAACTGTAATTTTGGGGAATTGTGCGCTATATAGTTTGTAACGCTTTGTATTAATGATCAGACCAGAGTGGCGTTCTAGATTTTCTTTTGAGTTATTATATTGCATTCCGAGGTTTTCTGGCGTTCCACATTCCGCGTTTTATAGTACTCGCATGGTTCGTAATGTTCGAGCCTTTCTTGTGTTTCGTAACTTATATATGAATGTGTTCTTTTTTCTTTGTGTCAAAATATTGCCAGCTTCTGTAACGTATGATCATGTGCAGTCTAAGCAGAGTGTTCTGTATGTGTACAGACTGTATGTGGTCACAGAGAAACTGGACAATCCTTCATATTCCTTTGCAACAAAGAAAAACGAGCACACCCCTAATGTTACGAAATACCAGAAAGCCTCGAACATTGCGAACCACGCATGGGAAACGACCATGCATAACATTAATTTTGAAAAGGGCAAAATTATCGAGACTGGGAACTTACATGTCATAATTAAATTGTAATGCTATCCCAACGCAAAACGAGTCATTCAGATGCACAGGTGACATTACAATTTCATTTATTATTCAAATTGCAAATCAATTATAAATTGACTTATTATGTCGCTCGAATAACTTCTTCATTTCAATCAAAAATTATGTACAAAATTAAAACACGAGTATAGGAGTGTTTTATCAGATATAAAACACGAGGCGCAGCTGAGCGTTTTATATCTCATAAAAAACGACAACGACTGTTTTTAATAGCTTAAAATACGACTACAAAAAAATACTAATTAGGATGAACAATTATATATTATCATACTAATTAGGATGAACAATTATATAAAGAATACTAATGAAGATGAGTTTTATCAGGTACACAGTCACTCCACGTGACATATTATGGCTGACATGATTTGCCACAAGGTTTGTGAATTATTAATGATATTTTAAATATATATATTCCTGTCTTAACAGATGTCAACGAATGTGATGACGTACATGGTTGTCACGCCGAAGCCACGTGCCAAAATACTGCTGGAGGTTATGAATGTCATTGCAATGCAGGTTGGACGGGAGATGGAAGAAGTTGCTCGGGTAAAGATATTTTTGCAAAATGTTTAGATTTCGAACTTTTAGATATGTTAATTTATTGAACAACGATATCAGTAGTCTAGTTCACTCGCCGTCCGACTGCAATTGTTTGCTATTTAGTCAGCATGGTGATTGAAAATTGCAGTTTTAATTGTATACTGTTTTACATGTATTTATACCACTATAAAGAAGATGATTGCCGCATTGATGGCTGTGAAGAACATTACGTATGTCGGATTTTGGACGGTCAATATACATGCGTCTGTCAAAATGACTACACAAGAACAAACTGTACAGAAATAACAGGTCGGTATCATTTCCTTTCCCCTAAAACGATAGTGATGAGATTATCTAAAGTAACTATTAAATAAGAAAGAAAGAAACTATTAGGAAAGTAACTATTCAAATTGCCCATAATTATCAAGACAGTCCACCCATCTCTCGTTGTTTGCTACATATAACTATTCTAAACTGTAACATGGTGTCGCAAAGACTTTTTGAAATATACGCAAAGAGCCTTTAGTCAAAATCTCGCATGGAACAAAAGCTCTAAAAGTTGTTGGAGCTTAAATATATGCTGCTATATCTCACACCAATTTTAATATTGGATTGAGGTGAGGTGGAATAATATGAAAGTAAAAGTCTGTACTGTTGACAAAATATTGTACACAGCAGTTTTTACTTATTGGAATATTTAAAGCTATTGCATATTATGCAATAATTATATCGCAATATGCAAACTGTACTGAATTCACTTCTAAGTACAGTTTGCTTAATTTAGTCGATTTCTCTTATATGCAATATGGCGATGCCGAGATATAAAAAATCTCAAAATACTAAACGTGTTTTGAGATTAGTCCGATTGCCATGTTTTCTTACATATTAACCCTATCCAGACTGGGGGGTGGAGGCGCGGAAAGTGCCCGCGCTGATTTTAAAAGTTAATTTATCCTAAACTAGTACAGGCTTTATATGTAGAAAATCTAATGAAAAAATATTACGCCAAAAAAGTTACACGTGAACATCTACCAACAGTAAATTTCAGCATTTTTAATTAATTAAATTATAATAGTTACAACTATTTTTTATTTACTACCATATTTATTTTCTAAAAATCCGGTTTTTGCAATTAATGACGTTATAATGACGTCTAGTTTGTTGCCATGACCGGGTGCACTTCCCGCCCCCATGTCCCAGAGGACCCAAAAAAAGCACGTCTGGATAGGGTTAAATTAAGTGTTTAAATTGACGAAGCATGGAAATCATTGGCACTGGACTCAAAAAATGAAGAAAGTCCTGGTACGAAATGTACAAGGAATAGTTTGGAAAATTTTAAAAAATTTGGAAAATTATTTTTTGTCAATAGCAAAATCTCGCACACAATAATGGTAAACTCATTGCCTCTATGTCGGCGCTGAAAGTGAGAAGGGGAGCAAGGGATGAAGATTTTCTTCTCCCTTTTCCTATCTCCTTTTATCGCTCTTTTACCCATCCCCATGACGCAGGTCATTAATCACCTCGTTTATTAAAATGTCAAAGTTTTGGTATTCTTCCATTTCAGTTTTTGATGCTTCTTCTTCATTTTAGATCCAAGGTGCTGAATGCATGAAGACTAATATATCTGGTTCTTATTTAGAGAAAGCGAGTTGGAATTATGTCTATCGTGTTCAACTACTAAAATTCGGAAAAATTCTGGGTTGCCTTTTCTAGATTTACCAGAGCTGACCTGCGTGAAACCAGGAAATACTTTTTGCAATCATCAGATATTTACTCAGATTAAAGCTACGAGTTATCATATAAAATTATTATATGTATACTTTTCAAATTATTTTTTTTCCATTATTTTGATGCCTTAAAATTTCTTAGCCACCGATGCGCAAAAACATCCCTGACAGGCTGTAGACAAAATACTTATCAATTTATATTAGTAAATTCATTGTAAAACATTATTCATTAATTTTTACTTGTAGGCTAATGATTCATTTTTTTCTTCTTTTCTGAACGCGTCAACAAAACTCCGCCATTGGTTGGAGTATGAATGTCGTGTGTGAATTCAGGAAACAACCATCAATATAAATTATTCGATACTGGGTACATTTAATAAGGTATTGTTAAATTATTAAATTATTATTTTTTTAAAAACTCAATAATTCACTGGGAAAAGACAAAGGAAATCACTGCCGTGTCGGTGGTTTTATATGTGATAAAAAATCATGTGATTTGCATAAACTTTAGCTTTGATTTTCTCAGCTTAGACAACGTTTATTTTTAAAATTACTTCGCCAACGAACTCTTTAGATGGGTCGTTTTTTAAGCCATTTAAAACGCTTGCAGTCCGTGTTTTATCAGATATAAAACACTCGAGCTGCGCTCTCGTTTTTATATCTGAATAAAACACTCCTGCTCTTGTTTTAAATAGTACATAAAATGATGTGATATAAAAATTAACCACCTTTTTTACCTTGTAATTTTAGATATCTCAAATCTGGGGTTTCAGTGTAGGCAGTGTCCAACAGTGAACAGTCATCACGATTTTGGTTGAAGGAGTTAAATACATGAGAAATATACAAAACATCGACATTCCTTCGTTCAGCTAGTGAAGGTGATGAAAAATATACATGCACAAGACGTTCTGTCAGTGAAAAGAGCATTAATTTATAGTATTTGTAAATAATTATCTATTAGAATTTAGTCGGGACACACATTGACAACACGGGTGTAATCTTCTGAAGTGTTTATTCTGAATAAAATTTACTCTACTATATATTACTACAATTTCCTTTTAATGTCATTTTATAGTTGATTTTACACAAGCAATAAACTATGACAAAAAAAAAACATTGTATTGATGTAAAGCGAACACAACCTTATTTGTTCTGTTCTTGAAATTCAATCTTCCTAGTCAATGAGACATTACGCATGATAGCCGGCTCCTTTACTCGCTGCAGAAGAACACTACTTCCATGCCGTTTGACCACACGATAACCATTGGGATCAAAGGATGTTGAAAACTTAATATTGCTCTTTGGATGTTTGAGTAGCACCATATCCCATTCTGAGACCGTTAAAGGAGTGGACCGATTCTTGTAATCACTATCAGTATTGCTGCATTTAAACTTTGTTTCTCTTGTCACGAGCAAGGGGACTTATCCGGGGTCTCTGATTTCTCTGATTAACTATACTCCCATACTTAACTCGGGCACCTTTGTCCGAATCTCGCGTCTGGACATGATCTTGGTAGGAGAAACTCCAGTCATATGCATTGCATGGGGGGGGGGGGGGTTGTTCAAAAGAAAGGTATCCAACGCCTTTCTCCAATCTCTCCCTTGAACAAGAGCAATTCGGATAGCCTTCTCTATTGTATGATTGAATCTTTCAACGGTGGCATTAGCCTGGGGACAATAGGGAGTGACTTTGCGGTGGTGTATCCCGTGGTAAGAGAAGAAGTCCTCGATCTCTCTAGAGACTAAATTGGAACCGTTAATGGAGGTGACTTGTTCGGGGAGCCCATGTGTTGCAAAAATCTTCTGCAGGGGGCGAATGATAACTTCTGATCATGTGGCTCGAATAATCTCCACTTCTGGCCACCGTAAGTATGCATCAACACACACTAACAGGCTTTCTACCGAAAGGAAGGGGCCACAGAGGTCAATATGAATGGACTGCTGTCACTGCCATGGTTTGGAACGCATTGTCGAAGGACGAAGTGGTTGAGGTGCAGTTGGTGGCATGGTGGACTGACAGGGTATAGGCAAGAATGGATGCTGAAACTGAGACCCACGTCAAGACATGGCCACCACACCTTCTGTCGTAGGAGTTGTTTAGCGCGCATAATTCCTTGGTGGCCTTCGTGATCCAGGGAAGGGGTTTGGTGGCGCAGGCATTTAGGCATGACAATGCAAGTTCCTCGAAGCAGCAAGCCAGCGAATGTGGACAGCTCATTTCAGTGATTGTGCAATGAACATTGCAGTCGCCTCTTGGATATTTGTTCCAGTGTCATGGCTTTAGGAACTGCTTTCTCTGTAACAAAATTGATGTATTCTTCAGCTGTATTTCGTTCACGGGGCTAATTGGCAATCGGGACAGAATATCTGCAGGGTTTGTCTTGCCCGGCAAGTGGACCACTTTAAAACGATATGGCTGTAAGACGAAAGGCCCACCGCTCTGTGCGTTCATCTATAACGTAGGTGAACTCCAATGGCTTGTGGTCAGTGTAAAGCTAAACGCAGTGCCGTTATGATACAGGTGGAACTTTTCACACCCGCCCACACAACTTCCAGCGCCTCTCTTTCTGTCTGTGATCCATCTCCAATGTTTGATAATTTTTATGCTAAAACAAATTAAATAATTGACAAACATATTCCTATAAAAGAATTATCTTGAAATGAAATAAAGTTAAAATCCAAACCATGTATAACACGTGCAATTCAATTTTTAAAGAAAAGGCGCAACGCACGCGTACTTGAACCCTAGTAGCCCCAAAAATGTTCGTATTTCTTTGTATATATCTTGTGGAATGAATAAATAAAAACTTTCATCCAGTCTCCTATACTGCTCACGCGCGCGGCGGCATGCGACGTACGTAATGTATGTATTATATTTTGTTAAGGTTGGCAGGTAAATGCATATTCCGACAATTTACCGATACACTGCCACAGAACTATCGCCAAAAACATTGAAACTAAGCAATAAACGTAAAACAAACATCATAAAAATAAGCTTTGATATTTTTACTAGCCTCCGCGTAACTTTTTTGTCAAAAACAACCCGACAAATAACAAAAATTGAGCAATTACGTTTTTCGTGTTTTGATGAATTTGTCGCTGTGACGATGCGGGATGCCCGCTGCCCGATACTGGCCTTTTTTAAAAATGACGAAAGCAAGATTTCATTGGCCCATAAAACTGGCACCAAATGGATGAAAACTGATATCAGCATAGGTCTCCCGAAAAGGTCTTTTATCTAAAAAAAAATCCATAAAATTGCTTTAAAATGCAAAACTATAAACCACGTTGTCCACAGAAAAAATATTGTTGTTGTATGGGTCATGTTGAAGTATATGATCTCCAACTAGCACTGCCTCAGTATTTAGCAAAACCACTTCTATTTATCCAGAACAATTTTAATTCATGAATTGGACTACGCCTGGAAACAAGAGATTTCCTTAGCAAGAACTCTGAAGGCAGTTCTGGGGTGTCTTACTTTTGTGTACCGCTTGCAAACCAAGCATCTCGGGTCTCAAAACAGTAAACTCGAATGCTTTTCGTTTAAATTTCTTTGCTCTATTTGAAATATTTTGGGTTTACATGAGTGCTAATTTAATTTGTAAACAAATTTGTCGGCATTATTTCGCTCCGATGTAGTGTGAACGTAGTGTGCGCGCAGTGTGGATATGTCTCGATCAGACAATTGATTGGCATACAAGATATATCCAGTCACAACATCGAACATGACTTGCTCACCACAGTTGCGACAAATGGGAACCGTCACTGATCTCACAACTACGACTGGATAGTGTATCATTTTTGAATTCAATCAAGTTTGAAAATAGAATATTTATAATGAGATGAGATAAATACACCGATACATACAGAATAATACGTGGGTGCGCGGAAATACCAGATTTATTTCGAGTGTTGAACATGATATCTGACGAGTAAGCGCAGCGAACAAGTGAGATATCATGTTCAACACGAGAAATAAATCTGGTATTTCCAAGCACCCATGTATTTTTCTGTTTATTATATAAACAAAATTCAGTGAAAAACAATAAAACGTCCGTGGCAATGCGTTTTACAACAAATGATATTTTCACACGTAAAAATATCGTATTTTTTACGTGTGTTTAAATACGATTTTTCTCAGTGGCCAAAAGCTCTATATAACACTTATGTTTATATAATAAATATGTGCAGTACATGCATACATCACGTCGCTGACTTCAATAGGGAGGGGGGCTACATTCTAAGTCCTAGCATTCCATCGGGGCCGTGGGCTAGACATTGCACCTCCCCTAAATATATTTCCACCTGTAGCAGCATTTCCACCAAAATCCAGCCTTGGTTTAAATTAGCTACCTTATCAAGCACCTCCGTATAAAGTTGAAAGATATAGCTTCCCATATCTCTTTTAATGAGTTTTAGAACGTTTTAAACACGAGATAATGAGAGTTCTTGGTGTGAACTCATCAGTTATTCACGGGAAAATGGTTAAGATTTCTATTCAGACAATGTTTCCCACCGATCACTAGAAACTGTAAGAACCTCGTTCACTATGTCACCAGCACCACAGTACATTCGTGCGGGTTGCATCAATATGGTCGCCATTGGTTTCATTTATGCATATAGCGGGTACCATAGAGATTATAAATAACACTAGAGGAGGCATTGTAATCTTAATTCAGTAAAAAAAGGGAACGCGACTATTGGGGGGCAAATTCAAGTCCCGGATGTGTATTCGTGTTCCTATTGGTGACGAGTTTCAAATCAGCCAATGAAAGCACGATTTTATATCCGGGGCTTGAATTTACCCCCCCCCCCCTCTCCTCTAGTGATGCCTCCACTAGTGTTTTTTATAATCTCTATGGCGGGTACTTTATCCAGTGGTAGTTTTCCGATCACTGACCTTACTAAACTAAACTAATACAAATAAATTATTAAACATTTATGTACAATGGTTTTATCAATCCAAACTTAATCCTTTCATAAGTACTTTGGCAAGATATTTAATATATAACAATGGGAAGAGCTAATTACTTCATTATATTCTTGTTTTGTATTATTTTCATTAAAACATTTCACTCCAACATGTACGTAAACTGTAGTTCAGATTTACTTGTTACCATGGATACATGAATGCGGTAACACTAGAAAGGAAGATAAGACAAATCAATGTTGCACTTCGGCAGTGGCCGAGGGGTCACCTGACCCCCACCTCAAAAATTTCAGTGATCGTATAATGATGATGTAACTTTACAATGATTTTACAACCGTGAAAGCCTTGTACTTTTACAAAAGTAGAACCCATTCTTCGGACTATATTACCACATGAAATTGTTTTTTCGCTTTCCGCGGATTGTTTTGAGAAAAACGTTAAGCCGGTTTTCCACTAGGCGGAAATTTGTACGCGGGACGGAAATTTTCTTTGTCTTGTGATTTCTCGTGTGGAACTAATTAGAAAAGACAAGAAAAATTCCGCTCCGCGCGCAAAATTCAGCCTGGTAGAAAACCGGCTTTAAGTTATATACAAGTCATTGTTGCTTACATGATACGAAGCTTCCTTTCTTCTTTGATTTCTTTTTCTTTAGAACTTGTGTTGACTCGGGACTTTCAACATCATGCGGTTCCTCGGCGTCTAAATATATGTAGAAATATTATTCAATATATGCCAGTAAATATTTATCAAATAGGGGTCGAAAGTTGCACGGCGATAACGCCATTTTAGTGACGTAATATTTTCTAGCCAATCACAGCTCTCTCTGAAGCACCACGAATCAATGGCGTGTTTTGTTTTATACAGATTATAGATGATGTTAAATAGCAACTTCTTTCCATCAGAAGTACGGAATATAGATATCAAACGTCCCTGTGTCTTCTCTTGCGTTTTAGTTATTTCGCTTGGTTTGGTCAAGTTTAGTTTTCGAAATTAATGTATAAGCATTCAGGAATTTCAAACCTGATTATGAAGCAAGATAGTAAAATTGCATAATTGAACGAGAATGATGAATGATGGTATTTGTATACTTAAGTAAAATTCAGGCATTTATCCGGGCGGTCGTCAGCCTGTCTCTTAGACGTCCTTATGGCTTCAACCCTCGCCAAAGGCGGTCGTCAAATCCTGCTATGGACGGCCACTTTTTAACAGATGGTAATTGATGGCAAAAACAAATATTAATTATGAACGTACGCCATGATCTCGTTAGTCTTGTTTTACTACGAGACTTTTATCACCACCAGAAAAATTGTTGGCCACACCCACGGCATTTTCTGGACGACCAGTTTTACGACAGGGAAGAATCCTGTGGTCTAGAGAGAATATATCATGCTCAACCTTCACCAATACAATTCTATTATCTTCCTTACCTGGTACACACAGAGTGTCAGTGACAGTATCATCCTCATCAATGAGAGAACCACTCTCTGGACAATGTAGATCTTCAAGGTATGGTACAACACTCATACTGCGATATGGATCACCATCTTGTAGTGGTGGCATTGGTACATACTCACCAAGAGCTGGGTGTTTTTTTCTTACCCAACTAAACAATTGGAAATGAAACTAAATTAAAATGGGTCGGGGTTTGCGGGTTATTTTATTAAATATATGGAATTTACATACTTGAAATTTTGCAACAGTAATATAATCGATCAGATATACAGGGTGTATCAAAAAAAACTGAACAGATTTGAAATTGCTCTCAATTTTGCAAAACACCTATTTGTATCTGTTTTTTTATATATATATAGCTTCTTTGGGTACTTATAATGTAAAATAATGAAAAAAATTTCTCGAACTCAAATTTTGTGAACCAGGGGGGTGTGTCTTTTCCAACAAACTAAAAATGGCTCGCGCACAAAATTTAAAAGCTGTAATAATATTTTGAGTTGATATATTGAAAATTTGTCGGGTTTTTAATTACTGTACAAAATTTCAGACAATTTGGTTTAGTTTAAGCCCTTTAACTATTCATTTTGTTCTAAAAAGTCAGCCTTTCGCATTCTTAATTAATGCCTTTACCTAATTTGCATATTGCTGACATATGCAAATTAGGCAAATACATTAATTAAGCATGCAAATAGCTGATTTTTCGGGAAAATTGTAACTTTGCGTGAATAGTTAAGGGGCTTAAACTAAACCAAATTGTCTGAAATTTTGTACAGTAATTAAAATCCCGACAAATTTTCCATCTGTTAACTCAACATATGATTGCAGCTTTTAAATTTTGTGCGCGAGCCATTTTTAGTTTGTTGGAAAAGACACCCCCCCTGGTTCACAAAATTTGAGTTCGAGAAATTTTTTTCATTATTTTACATTATAAGTACCCAAAGAAGCTATATATATAAAAAACCAGATACAAATAGCTGTTTTGCGAAATTGAGAGCAATTTTAAATCTGTTCAGTTTTTTTTGATACACCCTGTATAGTACACTTCTGTTTTCGCTCTACCCGTTGACCTATTGAGTCAACGGGGTTTGGTATCGAGCCAACGGGGGATTGGTAGCGAGTCTTATCCAATTTAAGTGCACGAAATATTTTCGACGACCCGACACGCAATGTTTCAATTCTATTTCAGAACCATCCTCAGAGATGTGAAAAACTAGTTTCTAAAAAGCTAGCGGCGATCTACAAACCCGAAGATGCGATATCGAATCTCGCTCAAAAGTAAAGAATTTTTCGTTGTACTCTGCAGTGTCAGAATAATATGAAACTAAACACTAACTTGTGTTGTCGGATGTCCTGTAAGGATAGTCTTTCTGATGAATCACGCTTTAGCATACCTAAAAATATTGACAGCATTTTTTAGTTGACTGCTCAAGTTAGAAATTTTTAATTTTTAAAGTGACAAACAAGATTTTCTTCTAACATTTTCTACAAGCTATTAAAATTAATTAAGAAAAGTTAATTTACTTATAACTATATGTCTGACTGTTCGCGTAGTTATTTTGAAAATATATTTGAATAGAAATTTGATCAGAATGCATATTGTCATTGTAACGTGCCTGTCACACAGGCACTCTTCATATTCCCAGTATCAACCACAAGGTTTTTGCCAACGTTCTTGCTCAAGTTAGAAATCCACAGATGAAGGATCTTGTAGATGGGAATCATCGAGTGGAAATTTATCAGACCTAACCAGGATTACAGGAACAGCTGCGAAAAATGCAACTATAAGTCCCTGGCAGGAATCAAACCTGCAATTCGGTGCAGCGCTCTAAACACCCGAGCTACGGAGTCAAGTTGTTGAGCTCTAAACACCCGAGCTACGGAGTCAAGTTGTTGAGCTCTAAACACCCGAGCTACGGAGTCAAGTTGTCGAGCTCTAACCACCCGAGCTACGGAGTCAAGTTGTTGAGCTCTAACCACCCGAGCTACGGAGTCAAGTTGTCGAGCTCTAAACACCCGAGCTACGGAGTCAAGTTGTCGAGCTCTAACCACCCGAGCTACGGAGTCAAGTTGTTGAGCTCTAACCACCCGAGCTACGGAGTCAAGTTGTCGAGCTCTAACCACCCGAGCTACGGAGTCAAGTTGTCGAGCTCTAACCACCCGAGCTACGGAGTCAAGTTGTCGAGCTCTAACCACCCGAGCTACGGAGTCAAGTTGTCGAGCTCTAAACACCCGAGCTACGGAGTCAAGTTGTCGAGCTCTAACCACCCGAGCTACGGAGTCAAGTTGTCGAGCTCTAACCACCCGAGCTACGGAGTCAAGTTGTCGAGCTCTAACCACCCGAGCTACGGAGTCAAGTTGTCAAGCTCTAACCACCCGAGCTACGGAGTCAAGTTGTCAAGCTCTAACCACCCGAGCTACGGAGTCAAGTTGTCGAGCTCTAACCACCCGAGCTACGGAGTCAAGTTGTCGAGCTCTAACCACCCGAGCTACGGAGTCAAGTTGTCGAGCTCTAAACACCCGAGCTACGGAGTCCAGTTGTCGAGCTCTAACCACAAGTTCATGTATATATACTAGGGTAGTGCCATGTCGGGTTATGAGGAAATATCAAGTTGGAGAGCCCCGCCATGTTTCCACAAATCATGTAAGCTATAATAGCCCTCCCTATCACAAAAGAACAGGCAACTATGGAGGCCTATTGCGAATTGCACGAAAACGAGGCTAGTTAGGTTGTCTCTCACCAAAATTTCAAAATATATACAAATGATTTATCTCACTCGACTGAATAATAGTTGAAGGGTCTTGTATATTGTAGAATGGAAATTTATATACATTTATTAGACCTAATCAGAAATAGCTGCCAACTATATAGGTCTCTTGGCCGCAGGTTCAATTCCTACCGGTATAATCTACAAACGGTACAATCTGTCTAAGAACCTACCCCGTAAGAGGTTTTCTAAATTTGAATCTACATCTGATGGCATAGTAAATTCTCCTTTCCCAATACATTCAAAGAGTTTGTATATATTATCCGCTTCAAATGGATACAAGCCAGTCGTTATATTATACCTACAGAAATATAAAACAAAAGATATCTGTAACTACATACAGGACCTCCCATGGGTGGAAAAATATTTTATTTCCTGGGAATACAAGGGAACATTGATTTTTCTGCGAGTTAATGAGAGTTCATAACTGCTTTAACTGTTATATAGGACAGTGACAAAGTATCCAATTGAACACTATATTCTGGTATATTAAAAACATCATTTATAAAACCAGAGGTTCTAGCACTTAAGTTTAACTGGTTTCACTGTTGAGCCACCTGATGATCAAGGGGCTGAGGATAGATACTTTATCTGCTGACTGGAGTTATATTTCGTCATTCAATTTTCATATTTTTTCTATTTTCTTCGGTGGCGCAGTCGTCTCTGAGATCGTGGGTTCGATTGGCTACGAGGAGGTGCGTTCAATCCCGAACCCACCTGCTGACGTATGTTTAGGAGGTGGGTTCGAGATCGATGTTTCGGCGGCGGCCATTATATGAAGCGATTTGAACAAATTTCAGACGAAGATTTAAATAAAAAATAAATTAACTGTTTTTAATTGTTTTATAATTATCATATTTTGTTTGATGAAAATGGAATATTCTGTATTCAAAGTGGAAGAGAAATTTGTTCGGCACGGGCAGGTTTATATAAATCTTGGCATTGTTTTCGCAGAATGTGTTTATTTTCTCTTTTCAAGAATAAGGGAATATTGTAGAGAATTTTTTTAGCTTTAATTTAAGCCTAAGTTTGTTTGTTTGCGCACTATGTTGGCGGCTAAAATGTTCGTTATCCAAACACACAATTATATACTAAAAAGTAAAATGCGTCACTATAAAATTCTTCAGTACTTTTTAGTATTTTATCGAAATGGCATGTGATAAAAACCAAACATACTTGCAGGTTCGGTGAGTCCGGGATTGGACGCACCTCGCGGGGTGGCTGGAAGTTTCGGGAAACTTTGGAGTTCGGGAAACTTCCAGCCACCCTCGGTGCGTCCAATCCCGGACTCACCGAACTTGCAAGTATGTTTGTTATAAAGTCGCGAGTTTTCTCCGGAAGTTTAGTAAGCGAAATACTTGATGTAATCGGTCACCGAAAAGCCCCGATCATACAGAGTGAGCTGAATAATATATATACTGTACAGGTGTATATTGTTAACCTTGTATAATTGCTATAGTACTTAGTAGGTCTAAAATCTAAATAAATTAACAAGACGCAACGTGTCAAAGCAAGATACAACAATGATCAGTATCAACAGTATTAGTATCACATAGCCATAGGAATTCTTACACCAGAAAGGTTATATATTTAGTACAAAGTAAATGATAAAAACTATTTACTTACAATGTCACACCTGCTGCCCAAATATCCAATTTAAAACCAGAGAAAGATTCTAAACCATTTGCAACTTCTGGAGGTTGAAACGCGGGTGAGCCTTGACTTGTCCTGCAAGTATCATCTGGCGCAAACATATCTAACCTCTAAACAACACAAACAAATTTATATGTAATGCATGCAGTAATTGCCGAAAATGGATTAAATCAAACCTACTGTAGCAACAAAATTTTACAACGACAGACATGTGCTGAGATTTCTGAGAAATGTAGACATAAATACTTCACGAGCAACCACCTGCTTCTCAGCACTCTAAATTCTCTTTAACGCCAGTAGAGGTCTGTTAATTGTACGAAGGTTGGATAGCGCCATACACCGGGACTTGTTAAAATGATCTATAACCAGTAGCAGACAACTCGCGAAATGCTGACGAGGAGGCGAATTAGTTCACCCATTGAAGTCATAGCTTTCAACTACTGAATGCCCCCACATCCCCTAATGCAGCCTCTCTAGAAAACGTCCACTCTCCCTATAACAAATGAGGCCAGATCGGCCCTTACAATAAAGACTGATTTGTATACAGCACACAAAACACAAGAAAGATCTTCCACTATTTCACATCGTCCGGCATGACCTGGTCATGAGGGAAACCATTTTTTATCACAACCAGGAAGAAATTTAGGAAGAAATTTTAGTACTCAGAGTACTCTATCGCGTCATCTTATTTACAAGTTGCGCAAATTGTTATAGTTACAATTTAATACCTTGCTAAAATTTTAAAAAAGTCAGAATATAGCAATAAACATAAAATACATACATTACGAAAACTGCAACACAAATGCAAGTATATACAAGTATAAATAAAGGGAGCAATACACGAATACAACAAAAAATACTAAAAGAAAATTGTCAGAAAACCACAACAACAGGGGTCAGATTATTACCTCAGCCACACCAAAGTCACTGATTTTTAAAGTACCATCAGTTGCTAGAAGTAAATTGCTGGGTTTAATATTTGCACTTTGTTAAGAAATAATACGTCAATATACAATTTAGTTGCAAGTAAACATAAGGAATACAGAAAAAAATTGCGGTTTGAAGATATACTGTAGCGCCAGTACAAAAAATGTTATGTTCGTATCATCCACCGTCTTTTTAAAGCTTTCTTTCGTTTTTGTTAAAATTACCACTCATAGAATGGAAATTGTATGGACTTTTATTGGAAATAGAATGGATTTTGGTTATCCATAATAATTGTATATTTCCATGGTATGGATATAGTATGGAAGTAGTATGGATATACTATGGATTTAGTGGTACAATTGCAAATTTCGTAGTATGGATTTCACTTTTTTTTTCCAGTGTACTTCATCCAGGTCGCCATGCAAACCTATTTGGGCAGGTTATGTTATTGGTTGATTTTATCAGAAAGATTCGGATTGGTAGAGATGCAATTACCTGTTCCTACTAACTTCCAGACAAAGGCCTTCGCTCGAAACGTCGAAGTTCTCCTTGTATTTTTTAGGTAGTTGCATCCCTATCAACCCGACGCTTTCTGATTATCAGCACTACCTACACTCACACAGACCGTTCTAGGTTGATTATACAGCATTTCCCCAAGAATGAGTCACAAAAACGCGTTGTTCACGAAGTCACAAAATGTGTTGTTCGGTTCGTATTTAACGTCAGCAGATACCATGTTGATAATGGAAAACTGACCGGTGAATAAATGTTGACAGTGAAAACGGTTTTGAACTATAAAAAGTGGGCTCACGAGTCGTACATAATTGTTAAGACAACGCAATTTTTAAGGATCCGGTTTTCCGGTTTTTAAAATTAAGTTCTAGATGTTCATATTTGACTGCACTACCGCAGCTGCTAAAATTAAGGGGCCATTAACCAATCAGATGCGTTTGATATAATGATTATCCAATTAGTCAATCAGATGCGTACTAAGCCAGTGAGAGGTTGTGTCAAATCTGAACCTCTCTATTAATGGGAAGAATTTTCACTATATACTCAAAAACGTTTGAATATGCAACAATAACTCAAAGGCAGCTTTCCAGTTAAGCATTTTTACGTGCGCAGAAAAGTTTGAATCCATTTAAAAATTACTTGTGAATTAATAGATGAATAAATAAAAAGTTAGCATTTAGTTTTCTGTATGATTTAAAGTGTATTTGTTGAGGTCATCAGCACAAATATGAAATTTAGAAATAAATAAATATATTTTCCGTGCGTGTGTATACAAATGTTTAAGTGGAAAGCAGACACCATCTAGATGGGCCTTCGCTTAAAACGTCGACGTTCTGCTTGTATTTTTCAGCTAGTTGTATCCCTATCAAACCACATTAACTGGAAAACAGCCTTAAGTTGAAAGATTCCACAACATTGCCAAAACACTCCTATATATTTACACATAACATATTTTCTTTTTTTGATGTTATTTTGTACTGTACATGTCGTGCTGAATAATTGTCTAGAGTATCATGCAGGCTAGGATATTTAGACATGTACAAACAATGTAGCAGGCACTTTGCAATGAAAGGGGGTATTTTGTAATGAAGACCATCTTAAACAGATTTCAAAAGGATATCTTTATGAATTACTCCTTGGCCATGAAGGTATTCCAAGCCAACCAGCAGCTGAACAAAATATCTAAAATAATAAATGATAGTATTAACATTTGCATTTGTAGTCATTTTCACCAGGAAAAATTTATACAGGTGACCGATTGCCACCAAGTCAATTTTTATTTGAAAATTCCTTTCATTGAGAGCCAGCTCAGTGGTTACGGTACAATATACAATCTGTAATGAGAGTCCATGTTGGAGTGGCTCATATCTTCCAAAAGTTTTGACACCAATCAAATATTTATCAAAGGTAGCCCTCATGGTGACTGGGAAAAAATTTAAATAACAAAGTAATTCCCTTGGTCAGTGATCAAGTATTTCATTATATGCTTTTGCATATAATTTGCCTGAACATATTCAACAGCTGGTTTCTTATGTTATCAAAATACAAAGAGAATACTTCATAACACATTGATATTATGTAGGGCAACCTGATACTAAATTTGGTGACCAGATCTTATTTACTGGTGCCACTTGGGCGACAAAAAGATTTTCAAATTCCAACCCCTGGATACATGCAATACCAATAAAAGAGTAAATCTTAGCAATGCATATGGCCCTTGTTGAGCCATTATATATAGTCTAAAGCAAATTAGAAATAATGCACTTACCCATGGGCTTGCCAAATTGGGAACTTATGGCTTTCAATACTTTCAAGCATTTCTTGTAATTCTCCAACACAATATTCAAGTATCATATATTTGTGAAAGGTTAAGTATGTTAACAATTTCAAAGGCAAAAGGAGGCAAGTGATGGGGTTCATGTATAGGTTCCTCTGGTATGTATATGGACCAGGGTCTTAGTTAGTTTTTTATGGAGTTTCTAAACTTCAAGGGTATAACTAAAAGCATGGCTCTTGTAACAATATCAGATACTGATATATTTAACATAATTTCGCCCACTTTTACAGACATGTGTGATGTGACAAAACATTTGCATGACTTTTGAGAAGTTTTCGACAGAACAACAACAATATTTCATAAACTAAAATGTATAAAGCTACATTTAATTAATTTGATCAGTACTGTTCATAAAGCATAAATGCAAGAGAAGGAACACAAAACGTTTCTTGGCTTTGCTGTAACAAGCAACAAAACCAGAAATTTATACCTTTATAGTGCCAGACATGCTGAAAATTCAAAAACAATACCTGTGGGACTAAAAGACTGCTGGGACTAAAAGACTGCTTCAATGTAAACAATGAAAAGCTGGCTGACCGTAATAAGCCAATGTTCGAGCAACTGGACATTTGCTTCCACATTGTCATTCCTTCTTGTCAGTCCCAAACAAAATCTTAAAGTTTATAATCCACACTGCTTGACAGATCACTTTACCAATTTCCACAAACTAGATTTTAGAAGCTTTCTTACAACATAAATTGGGAAATCCTGTCTGTTAGTAGCAATCGCTGTATTTTGTCATGTTGTCATGTGTCTTAATAGTAATGGTAAATTTGTAGACTGTTGAATAGGGGATTAGGGGTGAATCGACGCTGCTTGCTGGGGGACTTTAGCTCAGAGCAGAGCTTTCAAATTAAGCCAGCAGCCCAGCAGACACCCTTCCCCGCAACCACCAACTTTATCAACCTATGAATTTTTTTCTGTGTTGGTGTTGTGTACTCAGGTGAATAATATGTTTGCGATGTTACTCTGAGTGCATATCCACACCAGGCGAGCTTGAAAAATATGCCCGGCCACGGTGGGATTCGAACCTACGACCTTTGGAATACTAGCCCAATGCTCTTCCAACTGAGCTACGCGGTGAGGACGGTTCGAGTAAGTGATATTTCGGAACAGTATCTAGTTCCTTCAATACCAATATGTTCTAGTAATATGAACTTTTTTTTCTCTGTGTTGGTGTTGTGTACTCAGGTGAATAATATGTTTGCGATGTTACTCTGAGTGCATATCCACACTGGGCGAGCTTGAAAAATATGCCCGGCCATGGTAGGATTCGAACCTACGACCTTTGGAATACTAGCCCAATGCTCTTCCAACTGAGCTACGCGGTCAGGACGGTTCGAGTAAGTGATATTTCGGTACAGTATCTAGTTCCTTCAATACCAATATGTTCTAGTAATATGAATTTTTTTCTGTGTTGGTGTTGTGTACTCAGGTGAATAATATGTTTGCGATGTTACTCTGAGTGCATATCCACACCGGGCGAGCTTGAAAAATATGCCCGGCCACGGTGGGATTCGAACCTACGACCTTTGGAATACTAGCCCAATGCTCTTCCAACTGAGCTACGCGGTCAGGACCGTTCGAGTAAGTGATATTTCGGAACAGTATCTAGTTCCTTCAATACCAATGTGCTCTAGTAATATGAATTTTTCTGTGTTGGTGTTGTGTACTCAGGTGAATAATATGTTTGCGACGTTACTCTGAGCGCATATCCACACCGGGCGAGCTTGAAAAATATGCCCGGCCACGGTGGGATTCGAACCTACGACCTTTGGAATACTAGCCCAATGCTCTTCCAACTGAGCTACGCGGTCACGACGGTTCGAGTAAGTGATATTTCGGAACAGTATCTAGTTCCTTCAATACCAATGTGTTCTAGTAATATGAATTTTTTCTGTGTTGGTGTTGTGTACTCAGGTGAATAAGATGTTTGCGATGTTACTCTGAGTGCATATCCACACCGGGCGAGCTTGAAAAATATGCCCAGCCACGGTGGGATTCGAACCTACGACTTTTGGAATACTAGCCCAAAAAATTCATATTACTAGAACACATTGGTATTGAAGGAACTAGATACTGTTCCGAAATATCACTTACTCGAACCGTCCTGACCGCGTAGCTCAGTTGGAAGAGCATTGGGCTAGTATTCCAAAGGTCGTAGGTTCTAGGGATGAGCCGATAAGGAAAATGAGGCCCTTTTTTAGCGGAAATGTTCCCAGCTTCACTTCACTCGAGACGAAAGAAGGCACAGGTTTTGCAACAAAATGTAAAAATCTATTCGCTTGTATTCAGTATTTTAGCATGTGATTGGCAGCTGCAGAGAAAGTCTTATGGCCGATTATTTGCCGATTATCAGGCAATAATCGGCCGATTACCGATTATTTAAAACACGGCCGATTAATCGGCTTTGCCGATTATTTACCGATTAATCGGCTCATCCCTAGTAGGTTCGAATCCCACCGTGGCCGGGCATATTTTTCAAGCTTGCCCGGTGTGGATATGCACTCAGAGTAACATCGCAAACATATTATTCACCTGAGTACACAACAGCAACACAGAAAAAATTCATATTACTAGAACACATTGGTATTGAAGGAACTAGATAGTTACTGTTCCGAAATATCACTTACTCGAACCGTCCTGACCGCGTAGCTCAGTTGGAAGAGCATTGGGCTAGTATTCCAAAGGTCGTAGGTTCGAATCCCACCGTGGCCGGGCATATTTTTCAAGCTCGCCCGGTGTGGACATGCACTCAGAGTAACATCGCAAACATATTATTCACCTGAGTACACAACACCAGCACAGAAAAAATTCATATTACAAGAACACATTGGTATTGAAGGAACTAGATACTGTTCCGAAATATCACTTACTCGAACCGTCCTGACCGCGTAGCTCAGTTGGAAGAGCATTGGGCTAGTATTCCAAAGCTCGTAGGTTCGAATCCCACCGTGGCCGGGCATATTTTTCAAGCTCGCCCGGTGTGGATATGCACTCAGAGTAACATCGCAAACATATTTTATCAACCTACTCAGAATAATTGTGAAAGCCCTGTCAGAGAATTCCTGGCTCTGTTACAGTGGTGACAATCCGGGGTTAGCGGGATAACCTTGGTAATAAAGGATATAATTTCTCTTTTTCTTCATTGTAAATTACATCAATAAGTTCTATGACATTCTTATGTTTCAATCTTTTCAGTAACCTCAACTCCCTAAACAACATAAATCAAACATTAATTTGAGAAATTAGCTATTATTAAAAAATTGATCATCCACTATCAAACCATACTAAATACAAACAACCCATTATGGTACTGTAAATGAATTTTCCTTTGGTCTTAACCCATTAAGTTGCAATATGCCCTAATGCACCCTACTTCATTATTTCACTCTGTCTATACCAGTGGCGAATGCTGTTGCTCAATGGGTAATAAAGTAGGGTGGCATTATAGGATGTGCCAGATCCGGACACCTATACCTACCCATTGACATACTCTAGCATATGCCCAACGTACAGGAGTAAACCCAGGCAGGGGGGTGTATTAAGTGAATTAGCATTTAAACTCACTGACAAGAAATAATTTATTAAGAACCCCGGCCGTCACTTCAGGAACAGTGAGTTTTCATTTGACAATTGTGTTAACATTATTTATAACAACAACAACGTCAAGGTAAACCTCACTGTTAATCAGGATTATATACTGTTATTAAAATATACTTTCCTTTGCACATTTTCTTCGCCGTTTGGTATCCGTCTTAATCTTCGTTTTTTCATAATTTTTACAGCACGTCTTCTCAACGTGTCCATATCTAAAAGTTCTTTCACTTTTCCATAAGATCCTTCCCCTAGCATATCACCCATTAAATATTTCCCAATCACTTTAGCTTTCCTTTTCTTTGGTTGGTAAATAATTAAATCAGAGTCTACTCTCTTGATGAACACAGATGGTTCGTCCTCACCCAGCCACGAATGAGTGCGGGCTAGGCCATCCACAGAATCGCCCTCGCACAAATCGCCCAAATAAAAGTTTGTGCTTTCTTTCCCGACCATACTCTCCACCATTTCCAGAGCGATGCATGTGTTATACAAGATGCTTTATATTAAAAAATACAGGTATTAATAAAAACTTTTTATTTCTCCAAGCTTCGGAAGCCATATCTACAGATCATCTTGTGCTTCCACTTTACTTCCTTTAAATTTCTTTTTCTCATCGATCGAAATCACAGAAGTTTTAAAATATTGAAATCTTTTTTATCAACAGAGGAAAGAATTGGGTTTCGAAACATTGACGCATAATGATATCGATTTATCGTTGTGATTTGTTTATATCCCCTTGAAGTAAATTAACAGGAACAGGTACTTTTTATCATATCGAATTTTATGATTTAGTAAGAGGGGTACGCCAGTCCAGAGACTACTGGTACATAAGTTTCAGAAAACTGACGACACCCTACCAAAAAGTTAAGGTAAACCAGAGTGAATTCCATGTAAGCTCTGAGGAGAATCTCGATAGAATATCTAGGTACGTGATGTGAATTAATTTTAAAGGTTTTCAAATGTTATCAATGTACATTTTTACTGTTTATCAAGGCAAATTTTCGTTTTATCACTGCACAAATTTTATCACTACACACTAAAATTAGGTATGCCTTTCATTTTTTGGAGCGCATCATAGAAATAATAGATATCTATTATTTCTATGGACTATGAATCGGAGCACATGCACAATGTTGCCAAAATGGACTGACAATGCGGCTACTATACTAAAACACGAAGTACGGAGCACGGAACAAGTGAAAAGTAAAAGTACTATTGTGTGCGTGTAAAGGTGGGGGGGGGGACTTCTCCAATGGATTGACATACTGTATCTACCAAAAAGAGGCCGAACAACTTTTCAGTGTTCAAAAAGAAGCCAAACTGATGTGGACTTCTGCGAACTTAGTGATATGCTCAATCATGATTGGTTTTTCAGCCAAAATCAAGTTATTTGTCCTCAAAAAGGCCAATCTACCAACCCTGAATTCGCTAGTAAATTGGTTAATTGGTATTACTTTTTTGCGGCATATTTGTTCGGCATTCACATCACCGCAATTGGTTTTCCGGAATTCGTTCAGAAGTATAAAGTAGAGGAGAAGGGATTTAGCAGGGCATGTTGCCCCCTCCCCCCTACCACAACCGCGCCCACTTTTTAGCGTTTCCATGACTATACCACTGAATTCGGCTTGAGGAAAACCGGCTTCAATCCACAGTTATATTGTCACTCTTTGTCACTATCGGAATGGTCACGTATTATAAAACGTATAAAGTTCGGAAAAGCACATTTCGTAAAAGTGGAAGTTGTTTCATGTCAGCTTACACCAGTGGCTTACACGAAGTATTGCGACAACATCCAATATGGCTGAATTTGGTGAACCACGACTGGAAAACGTTGTCGAGTACAAAATCTTCAGTAGTCACTTGGCTGGTGTAGAAACTGTGGAAGATACATTGTATGATGTTTTATCATATGCTCAGTCACTTATCGGCGATTACATTTGGCAAAATGATTGTTTTAATTTGAGTCAAGAGTTGGAAAAACCGAAAGAAAATGTGGAGCATTCGGAACAGAACAAGTTTCTCAAAGGGTCCACAAATTTCGGTGATAATATTGAAGATGAGTGGTTCATAGTTTATCTGTTGTTTAGCATAACTAAACAATTTCCTCAGCTTGTTGTCACTGTGAACGATAATGATGGCGAGTTTCTGCTTATAGAAGCAGCCGATTATCTCCCAAAGTGGCTCGAGCCTGATACGAGCGAAAATAGAGTTTTCATCTATCAAGGAAACCTACACATCATACCACTTCCGAGCAAACCTTCAGAAATTACCATATTTCCTACAGGAAAGCCTACTGTTTATCAAGCATTGAAAGTTCTCAAAACAAATGCCGAGAAGACTACAGCCCTACCGTGGATTCAAGATCCCGTTATGAAAAAAATTCAAGAGTATCCCAATAAAGCCAAAGAAAGCTTTCATAATGTTTTGTGTTATATTCCATCTGAGGTGAAATACTTGTTGGAAACAAAGAATTCTCTAATTTCTCCGGCAGTTTTAGCTTTTATTAACAGGGATCCAGTTGATATGAAAACGTGCCAAAAACTGACGCATTTTAGTTTAGAGTCACTTGTGCCTTATCGTGTTCGTTTCACTAAGTGTTTGTATGGCCAGCTGGTTAAACAGAACTTCATTCCTGACAAGTATGCAGTAAAACTTCTGCCTGAGGTTTCAAGTCCTGCATATAAGGGGCACTTGTTTGGACTACAGCTAACGTATGGTTTTGAGATACTGTATAGCCAGCAAAGTCGTTATGCTAGTGGCGTAACGACACCCAATACCGCAAGTTGTCAACAATGGGAGAAGTACTTGGACTCTTTAACAAAGCATGGGTACTTTCAAAATGAAGTTGTAGGATCTCGATTGTACAGCCAACTTCTGCAAAATGCAAAGGAATATTTCACCAGGATCTGTTTGAATTCGGAACAAACTAGTCAAAACAATTCAAATGAAATCGAACAGTTACTTGAAGATATGCCAGTGCCTAACAAAGCATCAGATCAATCTAAACCAGAGGAATTTCCTCCGGATGATGAAGAAAGCTGGTTAGAGCTTTCTCCTGAAGAATTAGACCTAATTTTGTCTCAATATGGTCTCTCAACTGGTGAGGATGTAGATTTGAGGGAAGTTGTAAACGGAATGAACTCATTTGTGGAGACAATATCCAGTTATGAAGGTGCTGAATTTCCTTCAGATCTAGGCGAAGAACCAGATATACAATTTGATCCTGAAGGATTCATGACGTCTTTGGACAAATTTTTAACAAAGCCAATCAACAGAGTTGAGAATGAAACAGTCTCTGATGACGACTCGTACAGCAGTAATGCCAGCGACGATGAAGAGATCCACGATTACACCAGTGCAATGGATAAAGAACTTTCGTTATCAAACGTTGGGAAAAGTTTTGTAGAAGTGCAAGAGAAGAGTGAAGAAACATCGAGCAACAAAGATCAAAGCCCTGGTCAAACAAGTGAAGATGACGCAATGAAACCTGTAGATATTGATTTGAATTTAGTACAAAATTTTCTGGAATCTTATTCATTACAAGAAGGATTGCCTGGTCCTGTTTCTAATATTCTCAGCCCACTGGGAATAATATTGCCTGAAAATCTTCCACAAACTGATACTTAAACAATTAAAATATACATATTAAATTATAATAATTAGTTGTACAATACAATACAGTACATGTACACATATTCTTTAATTCATAGTGTGGTTGAAATTTTGCGTTTACAGGTTTATGAACATTAACTCAACAAACATTTAAAAAAAGCATTAATAATCGAAAACTTTATATAAGGTAGCTATATAATTGAGTTGGAAAAAATGTAAAGCACTCAACATCAACTGCCTGAATCAAACTGAAAGAATCACCAATTTGGGCATATCATTTCTTTATTGTCTTCTTGTTATAGGATTAACCTCTGCTTGTTTTCTACCTTCCTCCCTTCAGAATTTTCTTTTTATAGTCTATACTGTCCTGGTGTAGTGGCGTTTTGTTAATTGTTAAATATGTCATTGACTCCTTGAATACGTCAGAGCCGGGTCCATATTACGTACGTACTGCATGTGAAGTTGTGCGAAGGCCGGATACTGCCATCCGCCGGATTTCTGGTAGTCAGTTTTCAACCGTTGTGAAATTGCTGAAACGCTATAACATTACGGATATTGACCTCACAATTAATAAGAAGAAACTTTAATTTATAAATACCAAGGTTCAGTCTGGGTTATACCAATCAAGGGGTTATTTTAGGAAGCTCAAAAAATCACTATCCGATGGACAGTGCTATCTGGCCTTAGCACGACCGCCCCCAGTACGTTACATAATTTACCTAATTTGCATATTGTATTGTAAAAAAGTAAAATAACCGATGTGCAAATTAGGTAAATGCATGATTAAGCTAGACTTGCCACAAGTCGACCATGGGGGAGGGAGCGCGCGACCCGAGCGACGCGCGCCATAGAAGGGTCTGGAAAGGACTTTGGAAAGTCTAGAATTAAGCGTGTGTGAAAGGCATTGGTGCCAAAAAATGAACGTTTCAGCAGCTGTTCAAAGGACTTAAAATTGAGCAAATTTTCTGATATTTGGACCATTAATAAAACACATAACAATTTCTCGCTCATGAACTCAAAATTCGTTTTAAACTTCTAAATTTCGCGCGCAAGCTATTTATGCTGCTGCTAAAAAAGACACCTCCTGCTTTGGAAAATTTGTCTTTACGAAAATTTGTTTATTCTACATTATAAGTGTAGTGCTATTCTACATATTTCATGACATGAACGGATTTGTGAAATTGAGAGCCGTTTCAAAATTGTCTACTTTTTTCTGATGTACCCTGTATATGTAGCTTATTAACTAAAGTTATTTCGAATTATTTATTCTGAAGCCAAAGCTCTCGTTAGCTCAGTGGCGTTACTGGCGTAACTCCCATGAGCTCTACCCGGTAAGAGCCGGGGGCAATCGGGATTCTAGAGGGCACCCTGAACTGCACCAGCACAGTTGGTATGTAACGTAACTCCAGAAGTTAAAACGAAAAATGGAAAGTAAAAAATAAATATGGAAATATGGAATGTCTTCGTTTGTCATCAACTGTGTTTGGTCTTAAAGTTGGCATTTCTGTATCCTCTTTTATTGAAAAGAGAACAATAAAAGTTCGTAGACTTTTTGACAAGGAAGCAACAGATGAACCTATCGCTGACCCAGCGAAGAAATTATTTTAAAGTTATTGACATGGTTGCATCGCAACTACGCTAGCCTAATGATTTGACTCAAGAAGTTTTGTCATATAGATTCTGTCTCAAGGACGAATTGCTCGGAATGACTGATATTTTGAAAAAATAGTGCAATCAACATTTCCAACCACATTCATAAAGATGAGTTGATCACATCCTATTCTAACTTAGTATCAACAATTGTTTGGCTTTTAACTCTACCTGTAACAGTTGATATAGCAGAGAGATCGTTGGACTTCGGTCATCTATCGCACAAAATCGATAGTATAGATGCGCTGGGCATGATCTCAATAGATCTTCCCGTTGACAAAATGATCGACGAGTTTGCTGAAATAAAGGTCAGGTGCGAGAAATTTAAGATTTAATGTTACATTTAAGGTTGTATGTGCATAAGTACAGTGGCAAACATTTCACTGTTTATGTAAAAAACAATTTCTGCATAGGGTTATTTTATAGTTGTATATTTTGCTATATATATATATATTTCCAGTTTAAAAAACCTATTAAAATTGGCTTCTAAACGACTAGCAAAATGTTCATATTGTCAGAGCTTCATAGTACTTTGAAAGGATCTAGAATCCCCCTACCTTGGGGGCACCCAATCCGGTAGGGCCAGGGGCACCCTGGTCCGAACTTACGCGCCTGTGTTAGCTACCTTTGATAAAGTTAATCATATGGAATAAGCTGACGCCAAGAGTTACTCAGCCAACAAGTAAAACTATAATAAGTCTAATACAACTAAACATTCAACTGTTTTATTTAATCTATTTTATTTAATCAAACAATATTTCCCATATGTTAATGACGTTTATATAAAAATTTTATGCCTTCGTTCCAATTATATATATAAGGAGTCGGGCAGCACATGCAGTTGTCATTTATTGTCAAGTTGGCAAGGAATTATTTCAGGGGATTGCTAAATTATCTATCTAGATTAATACATGAAAAATGTAAAAGGATATATATCAAACCGTAAAATTGTTTCCTCTAGATCCCCGTACTTGGCAGTTGAGATTATTTTATACATAATTATATTTTTTTAACTGATTGAAAGAAATTTAGTCATCCCATTCATCTTCTTCATCTTCAAAATCAGAACCGCTTTCATCGTCTTCGTCTAAAAATAACAGGAATTCGTCATACATTGTACACATTACGTGCCTTCAATATAAGCTACGAGCTCATTGCTCGATGTACTAGCGCTAGCAGATAACTCAGTTATCTGTAGGTTAATTGCGCCCGCGAAATTTATAATATTCAAGCAAGAGGTACATGATTTGACAAAACATAAAAGTTTCTTTCAAAAAACATTTTCAATAACTACAAATGAAATTTTTGTTATTGTGCTATACAGCTGCCTGTTGTTAAATTATGTTAATATCTTTTATTCAATGTTTGAGATTTTTAGAAATAAACATGCTTTCGTCCGACAGAATTTAAATGGTTATTACATATCTTTGAGAATCACGCGAATCAACACCCAAAGGTTTTCTATTATTCGTTTCTAAAATCAACATACCTGAAGAATGAATTGCTTTAGATCTCTCCTGTAAAGCTCTTGCTAATGCTCCTGCAATACCGTCCAATCCAGCATCTGAATTTCCTTTCTGTGATGGCTCATCGTGGCTCACCTGTACATAGACGAAAATAATTCGACATTAATTGTTATTCAAAGATGTGTTAAGACCGTTTTCTACTACAGGCGGAACTAGGCGGAATTTTCCGCGCGGAGTGGAATTTCTCTTTGTCTTTTCTAATTAGTTCCACCCGAGAAATCACAAGACAAAGAGAAATTCCGTTCCGCGCGGAAAATTCCGCCAAGTGGAAAACTGTCTTAAGAGAGCAAGCTATTTTCCTAGTTAGTTTTTTCAATTAAAAAGGTTGTAAAGCGCCTTAAAAACCATCATTCAAAAGGCTGAACTGTGCCTTTAACAGACTTAACTTCCTGTTACAAATTCCTAATTTCCAGTTCTGTTCTGTTGTAATTGGCCATCAACAATAATCCACCAATGTGTTCTGTTCTGTTCTGTTGTAATTGGCCAGCAACAATAATCCACCAATGACAACGCTCAGAACAGAACAGAACAAGAAGTCAGGAAATTAAAACAGGAAGTTAGGAAAATTTAAAAGGAAGTTTCTCCGCATTGGAATATTGCAACAGCCGACCGGAACATTGCAAGATTCCCTCGAGGGATTTGCAAAGAGTTTTTTCAAACTTGAATAGGTAATTATGAAAATTCCAAATGAGTTAAGAACTCCAAAGAGGAACGCTTCACGTAGTTTATCTATAACACGTTTATATTCAAAGTTTATGGTATTTGTATACAAGGTGTAGAATTTTTGGCTCTCAATTTCACAAATCCGATTGTTTGGGTACTTATAATGTAAAACAAACAAAAATTTTAGCAGCATTAAAAATAGCTTGCGCGCGAAATTTAAATGTTTAAAACGCATTTTGAGTCCATGGGTGAGAAATGTGTTATTATGTTTTTTATCAATGGCCCAAATATCAGAAATTTTACTCAATTTTAAGTCCTTTAAATAGCTGCTGAAACTTTCATTTTTTGGCACCAATGCCTATTACGTATGCTTAATTCCTGCATTTACCCAATTTCCATATTGTTATTTTACTTTTTTTACAATAACAATGTGCAAATTAGGTAGATGCATGAATAATGCATGCTTGATAGGCATTGGTGCCAAAACGTTTCAGCAGCTATTTAAAGGACTTAAAATTGACTCACTTTTCTGATATTTGGTCCATTGATAAAACACATAACATATTTCTCGCCCATGAACTCAAAGTGCGTTTTAAACTTTTAAATATCGCGCGCTAATGCTACTAAAAAAGCCCCCTGACGCCCTCTGTTCTGGAAAATTTATCTTTACGAATATTTTTTTATTATTGTACATTATAAATACCCAAACAATCTATATTTATCAAACATTTCATGAAATGAACGGATTTGTGAAATTGAGAGATATTCCATATTCCAGAATGTTATTAGATATTCCAGAATGTTTACCGATTTCAGTTTAACTCCACTTCTAATGTCACTGAGCAAGTTCGTACGACCATCACCACCACCAGAACCATTTCTGTCACTGTTTGTGTCAACTTTCTTTAAAGCGGTGCCACTGTGTATTTGAGAGAGCAAGTCTCCCCTGCCACCACCTGATAGTGGGGGTGGTGGAGGTGGTCCTCCGCCTGACATCATTGGGGGTGGTGGAGGGGGTGCAGGGGCACCTGAAATGAACGTGTTATGACGATTATGGGACACGTACGATATATTGCATCAGGTGTTCAGACACAAATTATATATATATATATATATAAATACGTAACCCTCAAGGCTGTATTTAATAATAATAATAATAATAATAATAATAATAATAATAATAATAATAATAATCACCAACACAAATCATGCACAGGATTAAATGCTGCACATAAATTGGACTTTTTTATTAATAGCAAAACCATCGTGAAATCACAATGCATCTAGCATTTGGGCAAAGAAAATCTGTTCGTGTGTACGGTCGGAAAACGTGGCAACTATGGAAGAAATACTTCTATGGTTTTGGTCAACAAAAGGCGGTCTTGACGCGAGATAAAATATTAACAACAATCTGTGCACACCACTGATCTGTACTAAGACTGGATAACGCATCTATAGTATACAAAAGTGAAGCCGGAAGTCACTGGCCGCCACCCGATTCAAGGGCCCCACTTTTGTATAGATTTGTATTACAGACGGTAGTTTTTCGCGTTTTTTGCCTTGGCTACGTTTCTGACCGGGCCAGTTTTACAATCACAACGATAGAAGCATACAAGAATAATTTTGAGCAAAAAATGTGGAGTATTATGGCTTTATAACGCCGCGAAACGGTATTTACAATTTTGAAGGAATAGAGAGCCTCGGACCTTGTTTATCAACACGAGCTCGTTTTTCTACTTTCATACAAAATCAACTCAAAATATACAAGAATTACTGTTACTGGACGAATATTCTCGGGAAATTTGAAGAAATGAAGCAGCTACATTGTGAACAAAAGCGTACAGAGGTTAGTTTTAAAATACCTTGAGGCTACTTTTATAATTATATGAATTAAAATAACATTATATTGAGTCATTGTTAATTTGGATTAAAAAATATTTGATTGTCACTTGTCTTCCTACTTTAAAACATACAAAACTTCTCGAGAAGTCGAGGGAATGTTCTTGACAAAGTTGACATTTAAAACTGTTCCTTAATTTTCATATAATTATATTAGTAGCCTCAAGGTATTTTAAAAGTAACCTCAGTACGCTTTCGTTCACAATGTAGTTGCTTCATTTCTTCAAATTTCCTGAGAATATTCGTCCAGTAACAGTAATTCTTGTATATTTTAAGTTGATTTTGTATGAAAGTAGCAAAACGAGCTCGTGTTGATAAACAAAGTCTGAGGCTCTCCACTCCTTCAGAGTTGTAAATACCGTTTCGCGGCGTTATAAAGCCATAATACTCCAAATTTTTTGCTCAAAATTATTCTTGTACAGTATGCTTCTATCTTTGTGATTGTAAAACTGGCCCGGTCAGAAACGTAGCCAAGGCAAAAAACGCGAAAAACTACCATCTGTAATACAAATCTATACAAAAGTGGGACCCTTGAATCGGGTGGCGGCCGGTGACTTCTGGCTTCACTTTCGTATACTATAGATGCGTTATCCAGTCTTAGTACAGATCAGTGGTGCACACGAGCAACAAAACAATTGTCACGGGAAACTTGTAGACCGTACACACGAGAGAGTAAACTTGTCAAGGAAGCTTGCCGAGGAACACCAGGTTGTCTGTACGGAACTTTAAGTATGTTTGAAGTATTGTATGTTAAAACACACAAATGTTTCACGTATATCAACCACACTACAATCCAACGTAATCTGCTTACCTGGAGGTGGTGGTGGTGGTGGTGCAGAACCCCCCATAGGAGGACCACGAGGTGCCCCTCTGGATGGTGGCGGGGGAGGTCCTCCTCTGGATGGGGGTGGTGGTGGTGGCCCAGAACCAAATCCTCTTGAAGGTGGTGGTGGTGGTGGTGCTGATGAACCTCGAGATGGTGGTGGTGGTGGGGGTGCACCTCTTGGTGGTCCATTACCTCTGGCAGGTGGAGGGGGAGGCATGTCTGAAAATTAAATGAATATAAATTTTAGAGAAAATGGTAAGGTATATGCAGTAACAGTTGCATTTCTAGGCCCGAAATTAAATCCCTAAATTACGCAACAAATTCGGGCTGCGAGAAGGCTATTACATTTCAGGTTAGCTAACAATTCCAATCTACATTCATTGCCATTGGAGGATGAAGTAGTCCAAGTTATATTTAATGCCGGCTGTGCATTATACCTGCAGAAGGGGGAGGAGGTGGCAGGTCTCGATTCTGAGCATTGAAGCTTTCGACACCACCATGTTTTTCAACAAAATCATAAATAAACTTGGCAGTTTCTTGATCTTTTAATTCCATGTCTGTGACACCAGCTTTGGAGAAAACCATTTTCCAACCGTCATCAAGTTTGTTTATCTAGAAATTTAGAAATACTGTATATGTAAGGCATTCCTAAGATAACTGTGCAACGAATGGAAGTTACTGTATTGCTAATACATATCCGATATAAAAATCTTAATGGTCCGCAACTATAGACCGATATCTGTTCTCTCAGCTGTGTCTAAGGTATTCGAGAAAATTATATATAAACAAATCAGTAAATATTTCGATGACAATGAATTATTTACAAAATACCAATCAGGATTTAGGAAAAGTTATTCCACATCGACAGCACTGTTAAGTGTTACAAATGAATGGTTATGTAACATTGACAAAGGCCTAATAAATGGTGTATTATTTCTTGACTTAAAAAAAGGCGTTTGATACTGTAAATCATGATATTCTTATTGAGAAATTAAAACTTTATGGCTTTCAAAAGCAATCTCTGTCATGGTTTGAATCCTACTTGAAAGATAGGAAACACTTTTGTAAAATTAATCAAATCAGGAACGTTCGATGTGGGATACCTCAAGGATCAAATCTTGGCCCACTCTTATTTCTGATTTATATTAATGATCTGCCAAACTGTCTTGATGAATCTATTCCAAGCATTTATTAACGGCAAATAAATTAACACTATAAATACAACTAACACTGAATTCATGATAATAGGATCCAAGCACAACCTTACTAAAGTTCAAACGGATCCAATTATTACAATTGGAAATAATAATATAAAACGCGTTTACAAAACAAAAAGTCTGGGAATCATTATAGATGACAAGCTAAATTGGAAAGAGAATATACATAGCATCTGCAAGAAAACTTCGAAGGGTATAGGAATGCTACGATTTTGCAAGTCTTTTGTTTCCCGAAATACTTTGATCCCGAAATACTTTGAAAATGATTTATAATGCACTTATTTTACCTTATTTTGACTACTGCTCCCTTATTTGGAGTAATTGTTCAGAAACATTAAAATTAAATTTACAAAAACTTCAAAACAGGGCGGCAAGGGTTATTACAGGTGATAATTATGACGTTCGATCAAAACACATATTACTTAAGTTAGGCTGGAAAACACTGGATGAAAGGCGACAAAATCTCATGGAAAAATGTATGAGTAATGTTATGAATGATAATGGTCCGGAGATAATAGGTTGCCTTTTTGAAAAGTGCAACAATTTTAATTATAATTTAAGAAGTAATGGCAAATTTCTAAGACTCAAAACCAAATACAAACTCTATGAAGAGAAGTTTTAGTTATAGTTATATGGGGGCTAAGACCTGGAATCAGCATCTAAACGATAATTTGTAAATATTATACTTCTTTTCTCTTACTTGTAAATATTACACAGCCCTATGAAAATCAATATCAATTGATAGGTTACCGTGTATAAAAATAATTAAATACAAATATTACTGGTTCACAAATGTTAAATACCAGAAGTCAAAAACTTCAACCTCGGTTAGATTGCAGCTGCAACAGTGCGCAAGTGAAAAGGGGCTCTTATATAGGACCCATAGTTGTATAGATTAAAAACAAAAGCCACATTATAACGGCAAGGTGTAACCGAAGAACTATATCAATTCTTACATCAAAGCCATCTTCTGGATCCCATCCAACATGACCAACATGCCTAGATAGAAACAAATGAACTCAAATATATATATTACGCGTGCACACATCAAAATCTACTTTGTCACTGAAGTTTCATTACAGATTACAGCATTACTGCATGGTTCACACAAACGAGTAAAATTTCTTTGACAAGTTCCCTTGACATGATGACTTTCTCGTGTAGATGATCGCAATTTTACTTGACAACTTTGACCTTGACGAGTGTCTTTGTATAACGTTCATAACACACGAGGAAGTCTTTCTCTTTCGTGTAAGCCGTACACGCGAACACGTATTCCTTGTTCAATAACAGCACGAGTTGCAAGAATTGTCATGGAAATTTTACAAATCGTTTTCGTTCAAATAAACTTTGTAAAAAACAAAATGCCTGTCTGTATGTATGTACGGGGCTTTACGAATACAGACTTTTAACTTGCCACAACACAATTTGTTGATACTTTAATAATTAAGCTAAGACGAGGAGAATTGACAAGTTTCCTTGACAATTTTACTCTCGTGTGTGCAGTCAACACGTTTTCCTTGGTAAGATTTGTTGCTCGTATGTGCACGGATTGTTTGTTAAGTTTTAATTCAGTTTATCACACGTCAAGGCCGCATTTTGGTGGCCAAAACCATAGAAGAAGTTCTTGCACACTTGCCACGAAAACGTGGCGGCCATACACACGAACAAATTTGCCTTGTCCTAAACTGCAAAAGCTGGCGTGACTAGGTTTGGAACAAGGGTCCTTGTCATGTTTTTGCCGTACACACGAGAAAATAAAGCAAATAAAGCTTTTCAAGGACAACTTGTCAAGGAAAAATTGCCCGTCTATACGGGACTTTAAACTGTACTTGACAGCCTTACTGAAAATTGCTTGGTGCTCCAATATCGTCCTTTGTCAACTTCTTGCTTTTGCCCTTGTTTTTCTTGTTTTTGTCTTTCTTGTTTTTCTTATCAATAGATGTGAGTGATGGTGTTGGAGATGTCCGTCCTGATGGTTGATTATTGTCTAATATAATTTACCAAAAATTGTCATTGACAAGTTATACTAGTGCAATAGAGTAACTCCTAAGGGAATAACCAAAAAATACTCTGAATGGTAAGTCGATGGGGGGATCTTATCAGTTCAAGACGGGGGGTCCTTAGCACAATGTTACGCCACTGTACTTAACGTTACGTGCAAATATAATGAGGCAAAACCTCTCAAAAGTATCATGATACCACCACAAACTAACACATGTATCATATGTCAGGCGAATCTTTTCAGATAATACACCCTTCCTGAAAGTACTCTGTCTTGGCTAGAGAGCCTCGTGATATCTCAATAACGAAAACGAGGCGCTATAGCCACGGCTAAGGACTTTCCGGAACAGTCTATTGCACTGACGAAGATCAGGATTTACAGATCTAAATCTTGACTGCGGCCGTCGCGTACACTCATTGAGGCTTTGGTACTGTGCGTGGGATATCCCACATTGACACAACAAAATACTTGCAACAAGGTATTTACCCAAGGAGATGGATGTTCTCGCAGGTCTGTTCTTCATATCAATATCACCACCAAGTGCAGGAGGAGGAGCTGGTTCTCCTCTGGTTCTGGTTGTTTGATTTCTTTTTTCTAACAAATACAGTAGCACAGGTGAAATATAATACTGACTACAGTATACAAGTCACAACCAGTTAACCATTATTATAAAGTTAACTCTGCTAGGGGCAAGCACAACTTACAATACAACAGTTTCATGTTGGGTATGTTAGGCGATAAATGCACCTACTGTAATCGGTTAAATAAAAGAGTCCGGGAAATCCCAAATACGATCTTTGTAGCTGGCCTAAAAACACTTCGCATAACAATATTTGGACAAGAAAAATGCTGTGCTTTATCTTACTCTTTTGTTTACAAATTCCACAGCTCTCCATGCTTTCCAGTCACTTATTGTTCTCAACTATTGTAAGTTAACTGCAAAGAGCCTGTTGGGTATTGAATACACATAATCGGTTAAATAAAAGAATACAGGAAATCCAAAAATACCAAAATTTTTAGGAGTGAATTTCTGTACATTACCAGATCTGCAGATACGCTCTTTCGCGTTTTCAAAAGAACTAACTTTAGTTACACTTATACGATCAGCTCTAAAACATTCTCTCTAGTCTACTGTAGTGAGGGCGAGTCCAAATTGGTGCAGTATTATTACAAAAGGAAACCAGAGTACCCAGAGAAAACTTGGACTCTTCTCATATGTGATTGAGGTGAATGTATAACCAGAGAGGTAGAAGGTACATGTACTGTAGGTTCCACTGTGCCACCAACACCCCAAACGCAAATAATGCAGCGATGACTAGTAGTAACACCAAAAGCATAAAATGAACAGTACTAACCATTACGTCTGTTTTCTTTTGCCCTTAGTTTCTTCTCGACTTCTTCCCTGAAACTGGCAGCCTCTTGTCTATCACAAAAGTTTAGTCCTGCTTGACATTTCTATTGCAAAATGATGGGCAACAATAAATAATGATTATGGTTCACTGTACTATTCTGTTACTGTGCAATATACTCAGTTTGCCATTACTGCAATTTTGCCATTACTGACATTGGAATAAGTATATATTTTCCAGCTAAAACATTTGAATCAATACTAAATTTGAAAATGGAGGGAAACGAGTTTGTGAGAAGCAGAGTGCTGGAAAGTAGGTACAAGAAAGTGCTGGGTGGATTATGTTTGGAATGATTATAAAGTGGATGTGAAAGATGTCGAGGAAATCCGGCTCCTTTGGGGGAGACAAACAAGATGATGACAATATACTGTAACTTAATCAACTTAACATCCAACAAATCAAATATCACTTACATCGGCAGCAAATGTATGAAAGTAAGTTCTTGGTATGTTATATTTGAAATTATTGTAGATTTCCTGTTCCCAAACCATTCTACCTTCCTAAAAAACATATAGACTGCTGAGCAAGTTTCGTTTATTGCGGAGGTATGTATCGTGTACTGCTTGGGAGCATGGAAAAATGTAATGGATGACCAACTAGAAAGGCATCCCCCACCCAGGCGAGGGCCACACTGACACCTAAAGCAAGAAAAGATCAGTACGGCTGTTATAGACAATGGGTTCATTAAATCAGTTAATTTAACGAAACATGCTTTGTAAACTAATGCTTTTTTTATTATAGATTCCAACAAAGCTTCGAAATACAGGCAATGTTCAGTTGACAAAATGCATACAAAACACTCGTCTAATTAGAATAATCAAAACAGTGATAAGTTCACCCCGCTTGTGGCATAAAGAACATCACTCTTCCTAATAATCACGATGTGTTTCCAGCAAAGCCAACTTCCTGACTGGACAAACATGGTCCGGCTTCCAGACTGGCGCTACAACTTGTTCAAGAAGATATTGACCTCTCGGGGCCGGTTGCTCAAAAGCCGGTTAGCCTAACCCTGGTTAACACAAATTTTCCAGAAATCTTTTCTGGTCCAATAGAGGTTTTATTTTCTAAAGTTTTGAAACGAATGATCATGAAGAAATACATGAACAAAAAGAGCAGGTTAAAATTTAACCCAGGATTAGCGCTAACCAGGCTTTGAACAACTGTCCCCTGGAAAATTTCCCGATGCATGAATTAGCATGAGCTCAAGATTACGCCAATTGCTGCAATTGACCATTTGCGTAATAGACTAAATTTTGATCTCAACAAAAATTTCATTACAGCTTGAAAGAGCATCACAAAATTAGTAATATTCCAACGTTTCGTTGCAAAATGTTGTAAAATGCGGAAAATATAGCCTTGCGAAATTTGAAATTTTCAGTCATTTTAGATTACAAACCGGAAATTGACAGCCTCGAAGGGTTTGCGGCATCAATTTCCCGTTTGTAATCTAAAATGACTGAAAATTGCAAATTTCGCAAGGCTATATTTTCCGCATTTTACAACATTTTGCAACGAAACTTTGGAATATTACTAATTTTGTGATGCTCCTTCAAGCTGTGATGAAATTTTTGTCTAGACTTGTTTAGTTCAAAATTTAGTCTATTACGCAAATGGTCAATTGAATCAGATGCTAAATGCAGTTTTCCACTTCCACCGTATCGTAGCATTGTCTTTTGTGTCGAAGTCATTAGTTCCACTCTAGTGCTCAGGAAACAAAGGAATACGCTTCGCTAATAAACGATATGTAGATATATCTCGCTAGACGAATTCATGTGGTGTTAAATCTGTGCTTGCCCATCTATGGAATTCTTTGGTGTAAAGACACTCACATGCATAACTGAAGTGCTGCTCCCACCGTACACCAGCGGATGCGAATTCGGGGATGAGTCGACTTAGGCAATAAATATGAGAAAGGCTTCATCAACCATAACAACATTGCCCATGATTGTCTTCATTATTATTATTATTATTAAAACTTTATTTAGGCACGGTATTACTCATCAGGATTTACATTATATGGGCTACATTAACTAAACTATATTACGAAAACTACGGTGGTTACAAAGTTATCTCTATACCTGTCTCTATACTATATATAAGTTATTGCTCGCTTGCAGGACTTGATGAAAGAAAACCACAAGCTTTCTTATCAATACTCTTGAAGACAGGCTGTGGTAGACATAACAGTGGACAATAACAGACTATAATGCAGCAATCTCCATTTTCGACTGCAATGTCTGTGTGGCTGGCAAATGTGTATGCCACTCCAGGCTAGGGGGGTGTTGGAGGGGGATGTTGGCACTCCAGGCTAGGGGGGATGTTGGAGGATGATCTTTGCACAAACTGTAAAGGGACTTGACCATAGCACTAGATTGTACCCACCAGCTAATGTTGCTAGAATAGCAAGTTTTGTGCATTTCATGGCGAAAGTGGTTCTTCTCCTCGCCAGAGGTGTTGTCAACTGAAAGGCGAATGAGACATTTCAAGCGAAAGCTGGTGCAAGGCGAGTTGCTGTCCAGACGATCGAATGTTAGGTATCATACAATCCAGGACTACAGTACGCATATAGGGAAATATCCCTGAGCTCATTTTGTGACGAAGATGTCTCTTTACCTAATACAATTGAATGTAGGGCCAAGCAACTACATCAACAAAAACTCCTAAAGATGATTGCGGAGGGGATTGCTGAATCTTTGGCATCATTCTACAACAACTGCATAAAGAAAGGAGACAGGAAAATGACAGGCCTTCACAAATTAATATTAGAATGTTTGGGTTTGTAATCCAAGTGAGTATATATACATTTTAAAACCTGACCAGGAAGAACTGCGAAAAATGCAGCACAAGGTCCTCTGGTAGGAATTGAACCTACGGCCCTGCGATTCCGGTGCAGCGCTATAACCAACTGAGCTACAGAGGCCAGCTGTTGAGCTGTAACCATACGTTCATGTACAGTATATATAGGTCATCGGGTGTGCGGGTTGTGATAAGGTGGACTTCAATGATTTGTTTCTTGCACTTCACTTGGTGGAATTAATATTAGAATGTTTGGGTTTGTAATCCAAGTGAGAATATATACATTTTAAGACATGACCAGGAACGACTGCGAAAAATGCAGCACAAGGTCCTCTGGTAGAAATTGAACCTACGGCCCTGCAATTCCGGTGCAGCGCTCTAACCAACTGAGCTACAGAGGCCAGCTGTTGAGCTGTAACCGTAAGTTCATGTATATATAGGTAATCGGGTGTGCGGGTTGTGATAAGGTGGACTTCAATGAATCAGTGAACTTCACAAATTAAGAATCCCAACATTTATACGCAGATGATCATCAGCTTTATGTTTTAAGCAAACATATTATATCTACAGGAGGGGATGGAAAAACATCTACTGTAATTGGTATACTGAAGAAAATTTACTAAAATTATGATAAATATCAGACAATATGATTTGGGCCAAAAGAATAATAAAAGTATTCCAATGACAGTATTTATTTGGGAAATTTCTCTAGTTGAAGCAAGGAAAGAGCTTGATACCTTTAATATAGACGATATGTCTTCGAAAAGCACAAAATGACAGTATTGTGTCGTTAACCATTGATGACGATCAAATATCTACCACACAAGACCTAAAAGTGCTGGACGTAAACATAGATAATACTGTATGCTTAACTTCAGCCAACATATTACTACTAACTATGTGTAAATAGAACAACCGGAAAGTAGGTGCCATTTCAAGACTTCGGCAACTTACAACTCGGCTCTTTGTGAAGATACAAGTACAACTCTACAGTGGCTGTCGTCAAATTCTTATTCTATGACTGCATCTTATGTACTGACATTTGGTGTGGTACTTCTGTCGTTCTTCAGATGAGAGAAAATTGGAACAACGTAAGAGAGACCCTTAAGAGCAGTCAGATTTAAATAGAGACTTGAGGTTCAAACTTGGTATTCAATATTTTTTGTTATCTATGGTAGGTAGTGCCAATAATAACAAAGCTTTCATTGGTAGGGATGCAACTACTTAAAATCTTTCTCCTTGTTTTTATCCCTACCAATGAAAGCTTTGTTTTCTATAGTTAATTAAATTATAATTACTCTGCATAGACTATGTAGTTTTATGTATGTAAATATTGTACAACTATTTAAAGTGTCCCCAATTAGCTCTGTAGCAAAATTAATACATTTGACACTTAAATAAAGTTATTCATTTGTTCATTCATTCATAATGGTGGTTGCCGCTTCTGCTCATCTTCCGTCGTACAGATCACAGAAATGTTAGCTTTGCATGGTGGCAATGTGTCATAAAACATTACATATTACTCAGTCCTTGAAACTCCCGAAATTTCAGGTCGGCAAGAAATTGCCGACCTAAAAGCGATAATTCTCAATTTCAGTCGGCAAATATTTTCAAACAAAACAAAAGGAAATATCCAAATGAAAATTTAATTTGCTTGCTGCAAATATGTGTATTTATAAACTTAACAGCAATTAATTGCAATCAATGCCAATAGCAAACAAAACAACTAACAAAATGTATGAACTTCAATCGAACAGTGCATGCATGTTGTGACCAAATGTTGTGACAGACAGTGCACTACTTTATTACCATATACTTTCGCTTATGTTTACTTTTCAAAGTTTTCAACAATGACACTGCAATGTGACTATGCAAGCTAATGATCAAAACCTGGTAATTAAAACATCGTTGAAAATGCGTATGTGAAACATGTGTTCGCAGAAAAAAATGCCAACTAAGACGTATTTGAAAGTAGGTCAGCAAAATTTTGCCGACGTAAATCTACACATATCGCTTTGCAGGTCGGCATTGCCGAATGCCGACCTGAGTTTCAAGGACTGCATACTGCAGTGTCACAAACTTCAGGCAGTCTTGTAAAATCGAAAATATTTCCACCTTACCGCAGAAATGTCAAGGGAAAAGTTTCTTGCTTTTCTAATATAATGTTACACAATAGTCTTTGTTAAATATTTGGATAAAATGGTACATTCCAAAAAACATCCTTACTGTACCTCCCCCATGGAGGAAATTGGAAGTTATCCCCCTCCCCTTAATACACTTACTATTATCAGAAACAAATTTTTGTTCCCTTCCCTTCCTAGTGGCACAAATTTCCTCTATGGGGACAGTGCAGACCTTTTCTGGAACAACCCAATGGCAAAACCTCCAAAACTGGAAATGCCATTTGAGGAAAATGCCAAATCTATTGGGAACCCAGCAGGTATAGTAAGCAGTGATGTTTTCCAGGGGGAACGCGGGGGAACGCCGTCCCCCCACCTATTTTACCAGGGGAACAGCGTCCCCCCTGCCAAAATCAAACATGGGGGAACGGCGTTCCCCCTGGCAGGGATTAAATATGAGTGAAATTCAGTGAACGCTGTTCGACACCGTCCAAATAATTTTGGCTATCACTTGTACAGTCAGTACAGACATTGTACTACATACGTGATATTTTTGACAATAATTGCTCCGCAGTCCTACGTAGAAATACTTCAGAATGTAATTTTGTCACTATTTTAATCTCCCTGGAACTTGATATACTTGCAGAAAATTCTAGCAGACTAGCTTGATATAACTACTTATTGTCACAAGTGTGGATAACCTCAGGCAGCAGCCCAGCAGGATATAATTACTCTAGTCTTTCGCGCAATCGCGAAATTAATTAAACATTAAAATGATCAATTGGAACATAAAATGATTCAATAAGAACATTAACATGATTAAATGGGAAAAATTCAAGGATATTTATTATCTAAGCTTATTTAGTTACTCGCGAAAATGTCATATTTAACTTGCAAAGTTGCCTGCTTGCCGAGTTGCCGCATACTCAGTGCTCACATAGCGCTAATTGCATCGTCAAAATTCGAAAAACAACGTAGTTTTATTTACTTTTTGGCATCTACCACGAGCAAGCTAGGTGTTTTTTAGGTATCTTGTTCTACTAAATCCACTTCAAAGATTAAGCTATTACGAGTATGTACTTGTTCGCTATGACCGTGCATGAGGCCACGCCCAATCGAGTGACCACGCCCATTTGATTTTCAAGAGCGTCCCCCCACTTCTAAAATTAGGAAAACATCGCTGATAGTAAGTAAGTAAGTGGGGGGGGGGGATGCTAATCATCCTTACTTGCAGCTGAGAGCTAAGCTGAATTACGAGGGACGCAGCTCAACCTGATTGAGTCAAAGGCTTTCTAACATAGAGCTGTGTGCCGGACCTCCAGCATATTTTGCTGGAACCGGAGTTGGAAAACTCTGGCAAAAACTCCAGCAGACAAAATTATGAAAAATTATTTCATATTTCAATGAACATTTGGTATTAAATGGAAAAATTAAGTTGTTGTTTACTAATATATTACTATTTATATGTTGTTTTATTATATATTACACTGTGTTGTGTTGTTTACTATTAATAATGTTATAAAAAGGTGTTTAATTAAAGGTGATCTACAGTCCGATCTGCGCATGTGCACAAATGAGCCCACTTTTTATGATACAAACAGTTTAACTATGTTTTGAGTTCTTGAAAAGCCTGATTGTTGTTTCTTGATCATTTATTATACTCTAGAAGCTTGAAAATATAAATAGTTGTCGAATAAAGCTCAATATTTTGGACACAAAAATGTAAACAAAGGCTTTGTTTACATACGGACTGTAGATCACCTTTAAAAAAGATAAATTCTGAAATAAAATTACATATGAAATTTACTTAAAATTCCTTGCCGGAGCCGGAGTTTTGAATGCCGGAGCTAAAGCTACGTTTACACGCTACGATTAATCATCCTATCATGTACGATTCGTTTTCTGGCGTATGTCATTGAGTAAACACGTGTAAGCTGGCTATATTTGAAATTTCTTTTTAACGAAACGGCAATGAATTATGGCGCCAGCCATAATACGAATCGTACACGATTAATCATTGCGTGTAAACGTAACTTAAAATTACTGGAGTTTGCACAGCTAACAGCGCCTATGGCAGCCACCTTATGACTCATGTCTGATCACGGAGCACAACTACAGTGGATGGGTCAGTTAGGAGGATAATCCCAACCCACCCTGTCAATATTCCCAGTGGGAGGAAACCGGTGTAGCCGGAAAAAGCCCACGACTTTCCAATCGGTAGAGCGTTGACTGACTCTTTTCACATAAGTGTTATGCATGAGTATGTAGCAAGAATCAATGCTTATCGGGAGACATGGTGCAAATATCATATCTATGCACATGTTAACCTGAGGTACTGCACATACTGTATCTGCTGACTTTGGAAATTGGATATCTCTCCAATCAGTAGAGGTTGGCAGTGTTCTGACTCGACGTCTTAACTTCCCTATTTGGAAGAATGAGGGATGTGCCATTTCCGAGACAAGCAATTTTCCCTACTTTGAAGTCAGCGTTGCCCGAATGTTGTAATAAAATTACATTAAATATTATATAGGACCTCAAGCTAAATATACATGACTAGTACATGACAAGAATACAAGATGAATGTGAAATAATATCGTATCAATATATATATATACCTGGAGGTCAAAAATTCGAATAAAATAAGACCTCTTCGTATTGTCTTTGATAAAACAAGCCACACCACAATGTTGTTTTGTCCATCTGTCCTGTGATGTCGATAGAGCCAGGTGAAGTTGAACTACGGACGTTGCGAGGGTCTAAAAATATACAGGAAACAACACTAAAATGGCTGTTGATGAAAGCCAATTAGAAGAAATATATTTTTAGTTGTGACAATCTCTTACCGTACAACGTTTTCCTAACAAACCAAACACAATATTATTTTCATTGTCATTGAGACTACTAGAAGGTTTGTTATGAACTTCTGGCCTTCTTTGTTGATGGTTCGTCATGTTTGAACAGAAATGTTTGATAAGAAGGAAGGAGTGTTTTGTGTTTACCAAGATTTGTCATCTACCCTCCCCTCCCTCGCCAACATTTTGCCAACGATTGCAAAACACCCACTGAGCTGGAAACACCCACTGAGCTATACTTATATATCTGGAGATCGTGCTCTCGACGAAAGTGTGTGGCCAAAAACATGGCGGATTTGACGTCACAATCGACCTATTTTCATGGGGGTTTCCACTGACCCGTGGCTCGAATGTCCGTGGGCGAGAAAGTTCAACCCCCCCTGGATTTTACAGTGATTTTGTATGTTTATATTAGTTGATTAACAGAGAGTATATTTTTGATTTTCGTCCTTTTGAAAATACAGTATTATTCTAACTGCGCGTATAAATCAATAAAGACCGAAAGCCATTAATAAAAAAAGACATGAATGGAGCTTGACGGCCACAAGAACAAAGCATGTAAGTCATTGAAATGATTTATCAATTCTTGTTGTATTGTGAATTTGTGTTGCAACTGACTATCAAGATTATTCTTTAAAACACGAGTATTATAACAATCCCCAGCAAGTAAAATTAAGCAAATATAGCTTGTTGAAAACCGTACTGCTATAAATTTCCCTGAGTGACAAAGGTTTTTTTAGAGATTTTAATACCAGTTTATTCTATTAGTAAATTGTGGGGAAAAGCAACTCTTTGGAATATAAAGCACTTATATCACCATTAAAGTTTTTTACACCTGTATGTATTCCGCTTTCAGGTATGAATTTATCAAGAAAATATGGGATATCTGTACTAAGTACCAGGTGGCAATGAAGAAAGTCAAGTGTATTTCTTTATAATGGTCTTCCTTGTAAAAGGCAATGGCACTATTTCATTGAACATTCAAGGAACAATCGCCTTTTAAAACAAATATGCACATTTTTATGCTCGAGTTACAATGTTTGATTTTGATATCTGCATTTTATGCGATTCATACCTTATTTTTAAGTGTTCCTCAAATATTGATTCAATACATTACCTCGGGCTGACCAATTCATTCCATCAAGATATTTGCTGTGTTGGTGTAATACATGTACTCAGGTGAATAAGATGCTTGTGTGATGTTACGTACTCCGAGTGGATATCCACACTGGGCAGGCTTGAAAAATATGCCTGGCCACAGTGGGATTTGAACCTACAACCTTTGGAATACTGGCCCAATGCTCTGTCAACTGAGCTATACAGTCGGGGCAGTTCGAGTATGCGATATTTCGGAACTGAGTCTAGTTCCTTCGATATCAGTGTAATCTAATAACCATGATATTTGTGAATATGATGCTTGTGTGATGTTACTCTGAGTGCATATCCACACCGGGCAAGCTTGAAAAATATGCCAAGCCACATTGGGATTCAAACCGACCTGACCACGTAGCTCAGTTGACAGAGCATTGGCATTTGGGCTAGTATTCCAAAGGTTGTAGGTTCAAATCCCACTGTGGCCAGGCATATTTTTCAAGCCTGCCTGGTGTGGATATACACTCAGAGTAACATCACACAAGCATCTCATTTCATCAAGTTCCTCCAGATATTCATACACTTCCTGTGAAAGAGCCAATTCCAAGTATTTAATCATTTCTGGTCACTTCCTTTCTATTTATGATTGGTTAGTTGCACAAACAACAAAGGTGATTGGTGCATTCAAACCATTTAACAGGAAGTTTACAATTATACTAGGAAGTGTATGAATATCTTGAGGAACTTAATCAAATGAATTGGTTAGCCCGAGGTAATGTATTGAATCAATATTTGAGGAACACTTCAATTGGAACGACAGTGAAGAATTATTAAAAAAATATTTTATTCAAAAAAAGATTTTCCAAGATAATTATATAATTACATTTAGTAATAAGAATAAATAATATATTCAATTTCAAATCACAACAAAATTTATTCTTTATTTTTAAACACATACAACACCAATTTAATTAAATAAACTGCTCAACCAATTCTATGCATGTCAATCCCTACTTGATGGTCAGCACCTACAGTAATTATGCTAGCCTAATTTGTACACTAACACAAATGGTCAAAATAAATGTAAATGTAGCAATCTTGGCTTAGCTAAACAGACCAAAATGTGTACAAATAACTTAAAGTTGTTAGCAGAAAAATTAAGGAATAAATTTAACCCATTGAGTGGCGAAGCACCCTATTTTAGTATTTTACTCTGTCTAACGCCAGACAATTTTACTCGTCAAGGGGAGAGCACTGGCGCTTAATGGGTTAATTACCCCTCATGTACAGTATGACCATTAATTGTACTGATAATAAACTGTAAAGATCACAACCAAGCTGACCAAAGCAATCATTAAAGATTGTTGGTACAGCATATGGCTTTAACACTGGTCTCTGGCTGTAATCCTCCTCAAAGATATCAGCACTAAAATGCTTTGAACACAAACGACTATTTTTCATAGGAACAAACTTCACTGGCATAAGTTTGCTTATATTCTTCACCCATATGCTGTGCAATTCAGGGAATCTCTTCTCATCTGGAAAGCTTTGAAGTAAATGAACAATTGTTTTTAGTGTCTAGTTAATACACTGTTCAATACGATACCTATAACTTACAATATAAACAATGCCACACTATACAACACATGGTTTAGTCCACAATAAAGACAATACAGTGAGTGAAAGGCTTTGTACTTTATCACATTGTTAAAATTCTCATTTGAAATTTTTTAACATAGCATTATCTGTTAGGATATCGATAGGATTTCATCACTGCATCACATCCATCAACTTGCATGAAAATAAATACTTGCTCGACAACAGCTCCACAAGCTTGTCAGTATTTTAAAATTTTGTTCTGTTTTTGCACTGTAGTACACTAACATAAATTGTATTGTATGTTGCTTGCCAATAAATTTCATGAATTCACAATTTTACGCATTCAATACAGCAAATACAGCATGCGTTAAATTATTACAAAAAAGAGATTATACGAGCCTTAATACGCATGTGAGGACAGGTCCTTTCTTTCAGTAGATTTTTGGCAACCAGGAATTGAACAAAAAGTTGGCATGGTTGCAAATGTCTCGTTTCAATATAGAAATTTCCTACCGAAATTTTGAATTTACTATTTTACTCCTTCTGTTTTAAGCAAATTGAAAGGGGGGTGTGAATAACTTTTTTCTTCACGTTAGTGTTTTAGGTCAGTGGTGTTCACCATAAATTTAGGTCGATTGTGACGTCAAAATGACGTAAATTTGGCCAAAATCCGCCATGTTTTTGGCCACACATTTTTGACTGACGAGGTATTGGAGCACGATCTCCAGATATATTAAGTATAGCTCAGTGGGTAAAACGCGGACTGGACTCACTGATCTATTAATAGTAGACTGGATATAACTTCTGTGACACAAATTACTATAGAAATGTGAACAGTATGGCGAACAACGTGAACTAAGGTGAATTTTGCCAAATGTGAGATACTTTGCGAAGTTTTACCAAGTTGGTCGCTCCACAGTGGATAAAAGATGTTATGTTAATGCTGTTAAAACGAAAATTATCCAGATTGCCTTAAAATATCGTCAGTTTGGTTCGTTCAAAGTTGCCATGCGGGAATAATATTTTATCGCCACAGTGGCATGACAACACGATAATTTCTAGTTTACTCAAGCATACTGTTAAGGTAAAGTAAGTAGTTCGTTTTATCAATTATGTTTAACCTTGATCAACCAGAGGGTTTCAAACTTTCAATTATCCATCTTTAATACTAAGCCTTTTTACAAAATACGAGGGGTAAATTACTCTGAAAATCTTCGTACACTTCATCAAAAATCCCAAAAAATCTTTGGAAAAATCCCAAAATCTTACTAAATCCCAGAATCCCCAAATCCCAAGAAATCTCTAAAAATTGCATAAAATGCTTGGAAAAAGCCCAATAAAATCCTCAAAACTATTGCAATATTGAGAAATCCCATTTAAACATTTAAATCGTGAATTGGCGTGAGAATGTCCTTTGTTGATTTACTTCGTTTTAAAAATAATTCGACGGATTATATGTCGCAAAAAATGTCGGAAAAAGTTCGGCGAAAAAAATAAGCGAAAATATTTCGAAAAAATCAGCTGAAAAAAATCCCAAAAAAATCCCAAAAAAATCCCAGAATCCCGAGAAAAAAATCCCAGAATCCCGAGAAAAATTGCCGGGATTTTCTAATCCCAAAAATCCTCGTACGCTTTTTTCAGAGTAATTTACCCCTCGACAAAATATATATATACATGTCTTTGTTGTTACTAAATATATTTGTACTTTTTAAATTTATTATTTTGTTAAACTGGAAGGCAACCTTTATAATAAAACTTTCTGTAGAGTGAATCCACTTTTACAATGCAGTATAATGCAGTTGAGTTTTGAATTAGAAAAACTTACAAAATTGATTTAAAATGTGCTGTGTATTTATTATTCAATATTGAAATATATGAACAAATATAAAATATATCATTCAAAGTTAATTTGAAATAATAACCTGCTTTAACCTCAACCACTGATGGACTCGACTCATTGATACAAAAGTAAAATTGTCAGGCAACTATAGGCAGTGTGATCATATTCTGACATTAGAAGACAAATATACTTCATGCTATTTATGAAATTATCTCTAATACTATCTATATATATTATCTATGCTTCAAAAGAATGGTTACCATGGCCAGTTGTTTCCAGTTGTGCTGTTTCAACAACTATGTCAAGAAACCCCATGCAGGTGACAAAACACCAGTGCCAGATTAACCATATGGCAGAAGCGGCATATGCCACATGCCCCACGGTTTTCCCTATTTCAGTGCAGGGCCCAACCAAACATAATGCACACTGCACAGCAGGTATACACATTTAGGTATTACTTGTCATATGATATTATTGTTAATACCCATTGTGTCACTTAATTTTAGTAAAAATTATTGATGTATACTTCCTTTTTTTGTAAATACACAAATTTCAAGCAACTTCTCAACACGTACAATACAAAAGGATATGTTTATGTTTTTGAATCTTTCTGAATTCAGTGTTTAAAATGCAGGGGGGGCGCTGTCTTGGGTCCCCGCACTGATAAAATGCCACAGGTGGACAGGCCCCGCAAAATGTTAATTAATCTGGCCCTGCAAAACACAACATTGTTGCAACCAGTGTTTCTTTTTTGAATACCCCTGGAGCATATATAAACCAACAAGCACATATATATGCTGGGAATTTGGTGGAAAAGCACCTACAGATATTTTACAATAACAAATGTTTAGATATAAATGAATGATCAAAATTAATAATGAACTTTACACTCTGCATGCCTTTGGAGTCACTGCACTAAAACAATGGGCGTTGTGAAACCCCGGAATGCCGGAATATCACGGAATATGGCGGAATATCACGGAATATGCCGGAATATCACGGAATATGCCGGAATATTGCGACATTTTCCCGGAATATACCGGAACATCACGATATTTTCCAATGGTAGCCATGGGCATGTACTAAAAGGCGAAACGTCGAAACGAAACGACTGAAACGAAACGGCCGAAAATGTAAATTACAGGAAAATTGAAAAATGCGGATACGGACGGACGGACGGGGGGGGACAGTCGGATGGACGGGGGAAGAGGCGGATGGACGGGGGAGGGGACAGGCGGATGGACGGGGGGGGACGGCTTCATTTGACACGAAACTCAATTTTAAAATCAAATCCAAGTTTTGTTGAAAGGGATATATTAGGATATATTATAAAAGACTATTATTAATCGTAATAAATTGTCCGCGAAAAGTTGATAAAATACATGTGGAAATGCGGGGTTTTTCAAACCTTCGTAACGCTTGATCGGATAAAACGCGGATATGCTGCAACTTTCATGCTTAATTTTCTCAGTCATCTGGGTATGTAGTAATCTAATTTTATGCAATGTAATGTGTTATATTTTCAAGGGCTTTTCAATGCAGTTATCGGTTTAAATATACCTAAAATTCCCGTTAAGAGATATGACAATTGCCGTACGGCCTACTTTTGCGCAAACGAAAATTAGCTACAATTGCCACTTTCATGCTTAATTTTCTCTGTTATCCGGGCATGTAGTAATGTAATTTTATGCCAATGTGATGTGCTGATGAAATTTGCAGTTGTAATTTGCGTTTGCGTAAAAGTAGTCCGTACGGCAATTGTCATATCTCAACGGGAATTTGAGTTATATTTAAACCGATAACTGCATTGAAAAGTCCTTGAAAAAACAGCACATTACATTGCATAAAATTAGATTACTAAATACCCAGATAACAGAGAAAATTAAGCATGAAATTTTTGCAATTGTAGCTAAATTAAATTTTCGTTTGCGTAAAAGTAGGCCGTACGGCAATTGTCATATCTCTTAACGGGAATTTTAGGTATATTTAAACCGATAACTGCATTGAAAAGCCCTTGAAAATGTAACACATTACATTGCATAAAATTAGATTACTACCCAGATGACTGAGAAAATCAAGCATGAAAGTTGCAGCATATCTGCGTTTTATCCGATCAAGCGTTACGAAGGTTTGAAAAACCCCGCATTTCCACATGTATTTTATCAACTTTTCGCGGACAATTTATTACGATTAATAATAGTCTATTATAATATATCGTAATATATCCCTTTCAACAAAACGCGGATTTGATTTTAAAATTGAGTTTCGTGTCAAATGAAGCCGTCCCCCCCCCCCATCCATCCACCTGTCCCCCCCGTCCATCCGCCTCTTCCCTCGTCCATCCGCCTGTCTCCCCCGTCCATCCGCCTGTCCCCCCCGTCCGTCCGTATTTTTCAATTTTCCTGTAATTTACATTTTCGGCCGTTTCGTTTCGGTCGTTTCGTTTCGACGTTTCGCCTTTTTATTTGGTACATGCCCATGGCTACCATTGGAAAATATCGTGATGTTCCGGTATATTCCGGGAAAATGTCGCAATATTCCGGCATATTCCGTGATATTCCGGCATATTCCGTGATATTCCGCCATATTCCGTGATATTCCGGCATTCCGGGTTTTCACAACGCCCAAATAAAAAGTCTACGAAGATGTCTAGTAGGTATCTAGCCCAAAATCGTTTAAAGATATATTTTAAGTAGCTTTTTTATACATGGGGAAAATTAAATAAAAATATATAATATATATAAATTTGTAAACAATAACAATTTTAAACGACAAGTTGTCAATTTCAAATTACTGCATGCATTCAAATTAACACGAAATCAAAAATATAAAAATATTTATACATTTGCTAGTTAAAACTATGCTCTATAGCAATGTACTTAATATGGGGCGCCGTTTGTTCATTTATTATTTAATACAAAAAAGCTTGATTATTTTAATGATTTGTTAAACAATCCAAAAAAAATGGATTGTTTACTAAATAATCCATTTCGGTAAATGGATTATTTAATATATAATCCATTTACAAATTGGATTATTTAATATATAATCCATTTACAAATTGGATTATTTAATATATAATCCATTTACAAATTGGATTATTTAATATATGATCCATTTACAAATTGGATTATTTAATATATAATCCATTTACTAAAAATCTGAAATGGATTATTTATCAAACAAGAAATGGATTATTTATACGTTGCACTTCATGTCTCGGCAATTATTACGTTCCTTTCCTATATTTTTCCCGCCATTGAACGTTATTACTGTTGCGAGATTCAAAGATTCGAAGATGGCCGCAGCAAATTCGGGGCGAACAGGAACAGAGCGAATAAACACCGTTAACAACGCTTTAAGGATGATTGACTATTTAAGATCGGTCATCGCTGACCAAGATACTGAGCAGGTAAATAAATAATTCAGTATTTTTGTGAGTAATGCATGATAATTTTATATAATGTACACGATGGTCTTGAAAACGAAACATAAGTCATCGTTTCATTATTTTGTTTGATGTTATCAGGTAATTATCACTTATTTATCGAGACCGAGGGAAACAGTGTGTTTTGTGGACCCTAGACCGTCGATGTTTCCCGAGGCGAAACATCGACGGTCGAGGGTCCACAAAACACACTGTTTCCCTCGGTCTCGATAAATAAGTGATAATTACCTGATAACATCAAACAAAATAATGAAACGATGACTTATGTTTCGTTTTCAAGACCATCGTGTACATTATATAAAATTATCATGCATTACTCACAAAAATACTGAATTATTTATTTACCTGCTCAGTGTCTTGGTCAGCGATGACCGATCTTAAAGAGTCAATCATCCTTAAAGCGTTGTTAACGGTGTTTATTCGCTCTGTTCCTGTTCGCCCCGAATTTGCTGCGGCCATCTTCGAATCTTTGAATCTCGCAACAGTAATAACGTTCAATGGCGGGAAAAATATAGGAAAGGAACGTAATAATTGCCGAGACATGAAGTGCAACGTATAAATAATCCATTTCTTGTTTGATAAATAATCCATTTCAGATTTTTAGTAAATGGATTATATATTAAATAATCCAATTTGTAAATGGATCATATATTAAATAATCCAATTTGTAAATGGATTATATATTAAATAATCCAATTTGTAAATGGATTATATATTAAATAATCCATTTACCGAAATGGATTATTTAGTAAACAATCCATTTTTTTTGGATTGTTTAACAAATCATTAAAATAATCAAGCTTTTTTGTATTAAATAATAAATGA